CATGCCATGCAGTAAACACCCACATGTCTCAGCCGATGCTACCCATCGTGAACCTGGCTATGAGCGACGAACGATGCAGGGCCCGATGACGTGCACCAATCAATGCGCGTGATACCCGTTCGGCGGCTCTTGCTCCGACGTCGGTGTTTGTTCGCCGGCGAACTTTGAGGTAAACTCCGATATCTTCGTCAGCGGCTGGTATCAAATCCCTCAACAACAGCCTGTCCTGTGTTGTACACTTACGACACCTCTGTCGCCCTGATCCAAACAGCGGGCAAACTGTCGAAAGAGTCGTAAAGCGTGAAGCGCCCGCGAACACAGCACCGTCAAAACTTCAAGCATTCCATGCAGCACACAAAGAGAGAGTTTATCAGTCACCGGAGGAAGCTGCAATGGGGGAAGAACAAGCCAGCGGTATGAAACCGCCCTCAGCCAACGAGCACAGAGACCAAACCACCGTACCCAAAGTCGCAACACCCTCAATCGCGATCCCCAAACCCAACCTGCCGCTCCCCACGATGCGCAAACCCAGCACCTCGACCGAAACAGCCAACGAATGGAACACATCCAAACTGGGTTTCCGCATCGGCGTCGATGCCCTCTCCGCCGGCTCGGCAGGCATACTCGTCGCACCCATCATAACCATGATCGACAAAGGCATCATCGAAAACGCCAGCGGGCGTAACAGTCTCGGCGAGAGTCTGAAAAAGAGCGCAATCGAACTCCTCGCGAAACCGCACCGCTTCCTCGGCAGCAAACCTTTCGTTCTGATTTTCAGTCTATACTTCGGCACATACTTCACAGCCAACAGCATCGACACGGCGTCCGCGACGGTTAAGCCCACGCAAGGTTTACAAGAGCAAACGAGCGGTACAAGCAAGTTCCTCGCTACGAGCACAACGAATCTGGCGCTGTGTCTGTACAAAGATAATCAGTTTACGCGGCTCTTCGCTGCGCCAGGGTCGTCACCACGACCTGTTCCGCTGCCTACATTCGCGCTCTTCACTGTCCGCGACTGCCTTACTATTTTCGCTTCGTTCAACTTGCCACCGCTGCTTGCGCCCAAGGTAGACGAGCGCATGGGCACGGAGGTCAAGAAATATGTTGGTGCACTGAGTGTTGCGCAATTTGTTACGCCTGCTGCTGTGCAGCTTGTGAGCACGCCCTTGCATTTACTCGGGTTGGATTTGTACAACAGGCCTGAGGCTAGGGTTGGTGGTGTGGATGGCAGGGCGGGGCGCGTGCTGAGGGATTGGGCGAAGAGTGCTGCGGCGAGGATTTGTAGGATTGTGCCGGCGTTTGGAGTGGGAGGGGTGGTCAACACTAAGGTTAGGAAGAATATGATGGGTAGGCTCGAGGGGTAGGGGGGATCAGGGTGCTGCACGAAGAGTTGGAAACAAATCGTCTTGAGCATCATGTGGCGTTAGGGGTCGGTACGGAAAACTCTCATCTCATCTCACAGCAACAGCATGGCATGGCGTTAGGTGCGTTTTAACGACGAATGAACGCAGGCAACAATGAAGCACTTTATGAAGTTCCAACCTTTGCGCGCTTCTTCCGTCCTACCCGTCCCTCATCTCTTACCTTTCTCGTCATCCATCGCTTTGGCCGAAGCAAACCATTTATGCTGCACTAAACACCGCATCTCCATCAACATCTTCCATGCTTGCACTCCGCTATATCTCACGGAATAAGATCGCATTAGTCCATGACTCCTGTCCCCCGTGACATCATCGTCGATCCAAGAAGCTCAGATCACAGATCTCGACCGTTAGGCCCCAGAGGCCTTTTCATGGCATATCCGACTGCATGGTGCATGTCAAATCTCGGTTCGCACATCTTGCGTGCCCCGCACGGATGGTTTCTGTGAAACCGAACCACGCGATCGTTCATGGGAATTTAACCGTTGCGTGAACTAAGACTTGGCGGTGGCTGGTGCTAGTCCAACATTGAATCCGTTTTGGTTTATGTGTGCAGAGTGAAATGAAAGAGGCGTGCGTGCATGGGAAAAGCAAAGATGTGATCGGGATAGAGTGATCTGGGAGAGTCACTCGACGGGCATGCATGTAGAGCACAACAACACAAGAGTTCAGACATTACATATTCCATTCGCAAAACACTCTGAATAAATGTGCTGGTGGGTATCAAAAGACCTACGCCTTCTCATTCCCAATACTCGCGCTGCCGCCCCCTCTCGCCTCAGCCAAAAGTTGCGTACCAACAACCTCGCCATTACTCTTGCTCTTGAACACGCCAGAAATAGAGTAGAGACCCATAAAAGGCTCGTACACGTACTCCTCCTCCCAGACCTCCTCGCCCTTATAGGTCACGCTCTCGTTGAACCCGTTGAACCTCATGTTCTTGAGGTAATCACCCACAACATTAGTCGCAGAGATGGTGCCAGAGTTATCGAGGATCTGCTCTACGATATCACCGTTCTGGGCCAGAACACGGCGTTTGTTGGTGTTGCCTTCGAAGTTGTTGATGGAGTAGAGGATGTTGTTACGGAGGTCCCATTGGTGGAAGTCGAGGTCGCGTTTCGCTTTGGCTTGAGCAGAGGTGTCATTACCTCCTCCAGTAAGGCCACCGGCGACGTCGCCAACGAGACCAGCTGTGTCGTTGATGATGGAACCAAGACCGTTTCCTAGCTCAGCGATCACGGGGTTGAGATCAATGCTGTCGAGCACGTCGCTGACCATGTTGACGAGGTTACCCAGACGGGCTTCGAGGTAGACTTTTGCTGTGACGTTTTGAATTAGAAGGGTGACTTTGTCGATGGATAGGTCGACTCCGGCGTTGAACTGCAGCAACTGGAGGACTTGGGCGTCGAGGTTGATCTTTGCGGTCAGGTTGTCGACGCCGATGAAGATCTCGCCGACGTGAACGGATGCGTTGAGGAGAACGTCTGGGACTGGGCTCAAGGCGGAGATGTTGGATGAAGATGTGTTTTCTGTTTCGTAGAGGACGGCAGATGGGTCACCGTCGTCTCGCACATCGAGCTTGTAGCCACTGTAGCCATCGGATGCGGATTGGCAGACAGCGAGGAAAGGCAACGAAAGGAGTGTGATGGTAGGTAGTATCGACAACATCTTGACTGGTACTGAAAGAGAGACTGGTCGGGAGTCGACGTGCTGCTGAACAAAGAGCGAAAGACAGGAAGCAACAACTCAATGGATGTCGTCAATCGACAAGAAAGACGGGCGGGCGCAACGGTTAACACTACCATCGGGTGGAGTAGTAGTGAGTTGCCTGCAAGGATCATGTGCATCGCACCATCTTCCATTACCCGTCATCCACCTACGCTAGCAAGAAAAACGGAAATTAAGGAGATCCATTCCCACACCTGCGATTCGATAGAAAATCCAGAAAACCGGCACTTCGTATGCGGAATCAGGATTTCTACATGTTCATGCCTTAGCACTGCTCCAGATGGTGCGATCCAGCCTTGTAGGAACCCCTGCGCGGCTGCATAGGGGGCTTTACCCGAAATTACCATTATGGGAATCCTTGCAATACTCCATGTGCATGATTGCCGTGCCCGCTGATTTGCAACGGGATTCCTTCGCTATAACCGGTACGTGGGTCGTGGTTTGCTGATACTTGTACGGCTGTCTCGCTCGTTACTATTGCCGTTGTTGTTGCTGTCGTCGCCGCTCACGCCAACATGTCGTTCTCTATCCGCCTACTGCTCATCAGCATTTTCCTTACTTTCGCTACACTCATTTCTGCGCAATCGGAATCTGGAGCTCCTTCGACCCCGGCACCTACAAGCAGCACCCCGCCGCAAGGCAACGGAACTACTACCAGACCGCCAGAGGTTGCGCCTACTGGATCGTCGCCCCCGGATGTGCTTCTCCGCGTCCCCGAACTGCACGTTGGAAGGATCGAACTAGGTGTCGAGAAGCTTCAGGCAGATCTTAACCTCAACGCCAAGGTCGCCGGTCTCGTTCAGATCAATGCTGGTGTCCAGGTCGCCGTGGAGAAGGTCAACATCACTATTGCTGATGTAGATGTTGAACTCGAGTTGATTGTACGATTGGGCAACCTAGTCTCTATCGTTGAGCGTGTCTTTGACTCTTTGGACCTGAACCCTCTCTTGATCGGTTTGATCGGAAACGTCACCAACTTGGTCGGAGAAGTGATCGGTGCAGTTGACGGCCTTGTACGTATCCGAATGGCTCGATATCAGAAAGTAACTGACAGCATATAGCTTGGATCGATTACGCAAAACGGAAAGACGCTCAACTTCTTGGTCGACAACCTCGGTAACATCGTCCAAGAGGTCGTGGGAAGCGGCGGAGACGCCCTCCAGCAGATTGTCGGAAACTTCAAGGTAAGCATACTCTAATACCATACCAAGTTGCATCCACTGACCCGAGATACAGCTCAACATGACCGAAGTCGCTGGAAGCGCAAAGCAGGTTGGCCAGGGAATGACACAGAAGACCTTCAACTACGAGCCTCTCAACGCGCTCGTCGACATCGTGACCAACACCGCTGGTCAAGTCGTATCCGCGGTCGTCCAGAAGAAGAATGGTGGTGGTGGTGGCAGTGGCGGCGGCTCATCGTCAACAGCTTCGGCTTCCGGTACTCCCATGCCGGTTAGCCTGCCTGTCGCCTCAGCTACTAGCTCTGCGTAAGCGTATATAGCGTCGCAATAATGGCATAATCTAATGCATTCTGAATATCGTTCATACTGGGTCTGTGATGTGGTGTGTGGTTATGCAGAGTGATTAATGGAGTTGAGGCGCGCGAGCGACGCGATGCCTCGGCAGGTGGGAGAGATGACGTGGGGCGCTAGGACCACGCCCCAAGCACACAAGCACGGCCGTGGACGCGTATAGGCATATCCTCCTTTCATCGGCATCATTGCGCAAGGCCTTACATCGATCGTTCATTCTATTCACAAGGTGCGACATGTAATGCGAAGAAAACCAACTGACATTAGAGAAGTCATGATATAAAAGAGTGTCCAGAGTTGAGTCCCATCTCCCAGCCTACTAATCACTATCAGAGTCATCGTTGTCCTCACTCTCGCTACTTGAGCTTGAGTCACTTCGCTTCTTCGACTTGGAAGGCTTCTTCTTCTTCTTTCTCTTCTTCCCATCATCGTCATCCTCACTCTCACTATCTGAAGAGCTCGAGTCGCTGTCCTTCTTCGACTTAGATTGCTTCTTGTTCTTGTTCTTTTTCGCTTTCTCTTCTTCCTTCTTCTGCTCTTTCCTCAGACCTTCCCTGGAGGCTTTAGCCTCGAAAGTCGAACCCATCGTCTCCGTCATATAGTTATCAAATTCTCTAGCGGTGCTGGCAATCTTTTCGAATTCTTCTCTTCCCACGCTGATCTTGACATCCTTACTCTCATCGTATTCTGCACCATCCTTTTGAGTTCTTGCGCGGAACTCAGCCATGGCTACAGCGGTGTGGAAGGCGTTTCGGATCTGGCGTCCATTCCAGCGTGCCCGCTTGCTGTCTTTGCCCTCCTTCCAGTGCTTCTTGGCAAACTTCATGATCTCTTCTCCATTGATGGTGACATGACTACGGCCACTGTTCTTCAGAACGTGCACGGTCTGGTCAATGAAGGTTTGCCACACTGCGAGTGTCGTCTTTTTGTTGAAGTCAGGATCTGAGGCGCCAGTGTTAGAGTAAGCATTGTGACATGTTCGACGTACACTTACAGAACAGCGAGATGTGCACCCGAGACGTGAAAGCCTCGTCGAAAGTCCCCACTCGATTCGTAGTCAGGAACAGTAGACCTTTATAGTACTCCAACATGCGGAGGAACACCGACACGATGCTGTTGCGCCGAAGGTCCTCCATCTTTCTTCTGGCGAGAAAGACATCTGCTTCGTCGAGTAACATGACGCAATCCCATCGACTAGCAAGTGTGAAATGCTTCTTTAGGTTCTTCTCGACATCGTCTGCCGAGCTTCCGAGATCACCACATGTAATTGGGTAGAGCGGCTTCTCCATCTGATCAGCAATGCATTCGGCTGTAGCAGTTTTGCCAACTCCAGGGGCACCTGAGTCTCATTAGTCACATGCTCCGACGCTTGAGAGAAGGCGCTTACCGTGAAGGAGGATGATGAGGCCTTGTCCTTTGCCTCGAACCAGATCCATATCATTTTCCGAACTCCCCCCAGCAGCTTGTGAGTCTTTCTTACGGAAATGCTCTCGGACCTGAGACTCGAGAACGTCTTTGTGGTCCTTCGCCAGGACCAGCTTCTCAAACCCTCTGCTCTTGTCGGTCTTCTGTGGGGTTTCAAGATCCTTGACGTTTACATGCACTGCTGAATGTTAAAAAAAGGAACCAGTACCGTGACGGTGTTCGAAACCTACCCCATTCGCGCGAACGCAGCTTATAGGCAAAGACGCGGTAATGGCAGATGATGAAGTCAGAAGGCTCTATAAGACCGGCATTTGGCGTTCCTGACAGCGGATTGAACACAGGTTTACCCTCAACGTACGCTTGGTAGGTCTTGAGGTCCGTCATTTGATCATGCACAACAGAGGTCCGATGCCAGCAGGAGATGCAGGAGTAGTTGCAATCTTTTCCTTGAGGGCAATTGCTAGTCTCCGACACGTCAAGCTCTTCTGGCTCCTGGAATGATGGCATCTCACTGGGATTGATGCCGAGATAACCCTTCATATCAACGATGACTCTGTCGGTAATCTCCTCACGAGTACGGAGCTCGAGACCTCTACAATCCACGTATAGTGCAGTAGAAGCCAGTACAGATTCGATGAACTTCTTGCCTCGCTCTCGTAACATTTCGGCTGTACTGCTAGAATGGCTGATCGGGACAACCTCTAGCTCCAGGATGTTGCGCTCTCCAAGGTATGGCGCAATGACAATCTGCCGTCGTATTGGTACCAATCTCGAACCGTTGAAGTCTAAGTAATACGCATGGATGCAAAAGGGATTTATGCCATTTATGGGCTCGATCTTGTCCTTGGAGTTGGATAGTTTGACAGGAGATGGGTAAACTGGAGCAGGCACTTTGGGCGCAATGACTCTCCGACCACCAGATGTCATGAGAATCTTCATCCCTAGCTGATCTTGAGTCTCTGTCTCATCCAGATTGGCCATTCGCTTCGTGGTTATCAGGTCTCCGGTCTGGAAAAGGTGCCATAGATCACAGAAGCGCACTTTTTTGGCCTTACGTTCCCGGAGTTCCCCATGGCCGGGTAACAAGTATGTGTGAAAAAGGTCTTTGATGCACTCGAAAGACTTCTTAACCTCAGAGAGAGCTGGCCATCCTTTCATGTTCCGCCCACAGCATCCACTGTTGTCGTCGAAAAGCTCAAGTTGTTTGAGAACAACATCCCACTCTTCTTCGGTAATGCCGTCGGGTCCATTTTGCAGTGCCTCAAACTTGCGCTGGTTCTCAATATCGACCGGGTTTGCTTTTTTAGAAGCTTTGCGAGCTTTGCGAGCCTGCTTTCTTTTGACTTTGTCGCTGATCGCCTTCGAGTCTTGCGTGTTTTCGGCCTCTTTGGAATTGTTGACGCTCTTGGAGTCGCTGATGTCTTTGGGCTCGTCGGCATCTTTGGAATCGTCGAGATTTCTGGGACTTGCCATCTGTTCTGTCTTTTTGCCTGGGCGTTGGGTAATAATTCTGGTCAAAGCTGACTCTACTTCTGACATGATGTTGAATATCTCTTCTTTGTTTCGAAGAAGAGGCTTGAAAGGTCGTAGTATCACATCATCCATGCGACCTTCGCCACCCATGTTAAACTTTCGAAACAGGTACAGTATCGCGACTCCATTGATCCTGATCCGATTCGGGAGGTGATTGTTTCTGATCTTGGCCATTTCCTCCGCCAGCCTTCTTTCATCGAACGATTTAGATGAGTGCTCAATCATCGCATCAGACGGCGTCGTCTTGTCATTTACGTCTTCGTCTCCCAGAACGTTTGCTTTTGTCACCAGTCCTCTGAATCTTTCGACCTTTTCTGCTTCTGGCTCTCCCACAAAAACATCGATTTGATGAGTGGCAGATTTTGGCTTCTCATCATTCATTGTTTTTGCAGGCTTCATGACCTTTGATAGTTGGAGATTCAACTCAGGCTTCAGGTGCAGCCCGGTCTTGTCGAGCGGAGGGGGTGGAGGGAGTTCGTCATCGCCGTCCGCCAGCCTGCGTAGTTTCTTATCGAATGCCGTGGCTCTTTTTTCAAGAAGCGCAAGCCTTTCTTCCAAAATCCTTGAGTATTGATGAACCTGCGCTATACGTTTCGGTGCCAGCTTGATACGCTCCTTGACGTTGACGTCGTCGTATTTGCTTTTGATGTAATCCAATATCTCGTCAACATCTGTACCCTCACTCAAATCTCCGTTATCGGTATCCGAGTCCCGATCTGAGTTGTCTTCCGAGGTAGCCGATGACCCATCTTTGTCTGTAGTGCGACCTATCGCAGCGTTGACATCCCAAGTTTGGGGTTCTTTGTCCTTCGGTTCTATAGCCCGTAATGCAGGGCTGTTTTCGAGTGTGACAGGCTTCGCATCGCCACTACACTCGACTGCATTGTCCGACGACATAGTAGGGGTCTTTTCGGATGCGCTGACTTCGCCTGTCATGTATTCAGTAACTACCCAAGCAGGCGAGACTGTGCGACTTACTGGATCCAGATGGCCCATCACTAACAGAGAGTACTACTCCCGAATCATCAGAGCCAGCCATCGCAGCGTCGTCTTCTCATCAATATCTTTGAATCTTTCCAACTGATCTGGATTGATCGAAATCGACCGAGATCTCGAGTTCTGGATGATAGGAGTTATTAAGCAGCCTCCCTCTAGAAACCGCAGACAAAACGTTGCTGATGATATAGACGGCGTTCAGGAGGTACAGGTGAGATGTTTTCACCAATGTGGGGTCAAACTATGTCCATACTAGCAATCGAGATGAAACTTATTTGTTAGTAAGATAAATTACGTAGCGACGCCTTATCCTGTGCTAGGGAACCGGAAGAGTAAGACCTGGGGTCTAGATGACGCCTTGCACTCGCGACGTGCATAACATCGCAAGGTTCAGTCCAACAACCGGTAATGCGAGCGATACCTGCCTAACTCGTTCAATTTTCGAGCGCCCTTACTTGTTTCATTAATTGTTTAGTCCCAATTATAGATGTCAAGGGACGGGAATATGTGAGAGTGGCGTTCGTCGAGCATGCATCGACCTGCCGTCGACCTTTCGATCATTGGGGGCGACCTGATGTGGTTGAAGGAGACGCAAGAGCAGGCTTCTTCTGCGTGGCATGGTAGTAAGCCTGGCTAGACGCCAATGACAGAATCCTGTGCTGACCCGTGCAGATGTATGTGGTACCTACCGGGATGCTGGCGGGTAAACAGTCAGGTCTCGACATGTACTTGGAGAGAGAATGGGCCAGCCGGAGTTGTTGAGATGCAGCAGTCATGAGCTCTATGTATCGCATCCGCCTACAAGCTGTTGTTTGATCGGGTGCGTGGAGCCAGGCTTCTGGCGGCACGGGTGGGCAACCTGGAATAACGATAACGCAGGCAACTACACGGCCCCCAAATGCTTGCCACCTCGATATTGTCAGCTGAATGCAGTCGCCGGAAATGGATGATAGATGCGCGAGGCTATGGGTGTAGTACCCGCTTACATCATTGGCAAAGCGCACGTTCTTCGGGTTGCGCGTGTCAGCCTTGGAGCTTTCAGCCACGTCGAGAAACTCAGGTATCTGCCTGCGCCCACTTGCGTATGCTGAAGTAGGCACCCCAATCCTCCGGCATGAATGCATAGGCGATGTGTCTGCGCGTTCGCAACCATAAGTTGTGTGTTTTAATGCAACCTATTCTCTACTGCCTCTAGGCACCATGCCGCCCCACCAACGGGCCGATGACGGGTTCCCCGCTCCTTCCATGCAACCCATATCAGTCGACTTCATCGAGAATCGATATGCGGGATTTCGCAACACCGAAGGAGAGTTGTCATGTAAATTCGATCACAGCCTTCAACAGTTTGTGACTCCCCCGTTTGCAGCTAGCGGGGTAGCACTCGAAGACTACGAGGCGGAATTGAGGGACAGCAAGCTGAGAGTCGTCGCAACCACGCAAAGCTTCGAGACCGCTCTCTCATCTCTGAAGAGAAAGAAAGCCAAGGACAAGAAAATCGCCAGCTTTGATCTTGACTCTTTTCACGACTGGAAAGAGGTAACAGATCATATACAGGTGGTTGTGAAGAATTACCACAAAGATGATTCCACGTGGGCGCATATACGTGGCGCATTTCGACGTGTCGGAGACAACGCGAAGTCCATACAGACTTTTGTCGGCCTCTTACCCGATGGAGAGTATAAGACTCTATGCGGAGGACTGACATTGATCTTGACAGTTGGTCATCTCTGGTCAATACATTTTGACTTCGAATGCTGATATTTGAGATAGGCTATGACCGAGCATGCAGCCGTCCGCGAACGGATGGCTGAGTTGTTGCGAGAGGTGCCTGATGTCGTGAATCAGTGCGAGCAATACCAGACGCTCTATCCCGGACAGAACACCATACAGTTGTGCATTAACGATATTTACCACAATCTTCTCGTAGCCCTAGAAGCGATAGTGGAATGGTACAAACAATCCGCATGGAGTAAGTGGGCTACTTTACGGCCAAGATCCTCTGTTTGGAGCCTGAACCGTGTACTGATAGTGTTAGAACACGCCACGGACAGTGTCTTAAGAAACAACAACTACGGAAAAACCATCGATCAATGTCTCCAAAACATTCGCCAGTCAAAGAGTCGCTTCACAGAAGAGACCCAAGTGTACTTGGCTTATTATCAACAAGCTACATTCCAAGGAACACGCAAACTCAACGCTCAGTCCCATGAGATCAACTCGAACGTTCTTAGCCTGGGTGGACGCGTTGCACAAGCCGAAATAAATCTCCAACATGTGGTGAATGCCGGCATAAATGGGCTTATGGGTCATCTTGACGACACGATCAAGAATGCTGACTGTAAGCCAAAACCTCTCTGATCGAGTATCAATCCGCCTTGCTAATCTTTCAAAGGGCAGGGCAATGTAGAGAAACTTGCACGGAACTGGATGGCGCAGCAGTTGAACGCCGAAAATGACAGTGAGTTGAGTATATCTTACTGCGCTCCCAACTAACTCGTGTCTAGAGCGAAGGATAATGGAACTCGAAGAGCAAGTCGCCAAGACATCCATCACTCCGAAGCGTCTCATGGAAGAGCTACACCTGAAACCCAAGAAGCATACACATGTACATGAAGCTTCCGTGGTGCTCAAAGATGGACTGAACAGCTCGACAAAGTTCCAAGAACGCGCTGGCTGGGTAGGTAGCAATAGCCGATTCCAAGCCTGGCTGGGAGGAAAGAACAAGTCCCAAATGCTGTGCGTCCAGGACCGTGGCGATTCCGACAGGACATCACCACTGAGCTTCCTCATATCACTTCTCCACGAGAGGCTCGTGACAGCACCGCGCACCCTGGTCCTCCCTTTCTTTTGTGGAAGAAGCAAAACAGACGACGGACCCGCAATCATGCCCAGGGCGCTAGTCGTCCAGCTCCTCGATGTTTGCAAGACTTATGGGTACACTGGCGAGAAAGGTCAACCCATCCTCTCATTTCTTGGACACGAAGAAAGGATGCAGTTGAACGAGCAGGACTGCGTGGCGTACACGAAAGTGCTCACGCAACTGCTACGAGAATTGCGAAAGAAGTATGATGCAATCTTCATTTTGATCGACGGTGTTGACTTCTACGATTCGGATTTCGAGGAAGAGATTGATGATTTTGTTAAGAGCATGAAGAAGCTGATCAAATCGCTCAACAAGCCAGATGACGAGGCGCTTGGTGGTGTTGTAAGGGTGCTCTTGACAACAGCCACATGGTCGAGCCGCTTCGATTCTCCTGCGAAGCCACTGGTTGTAATTGATGTGCCGGAGTATATAGAGGGGTCGATGGACGGGTTCGAGAGGTTCACGTAGATAGGCATTCTGTGTAGTTTTGGGCGATGCCAATCGCAACCTCTTTTCGTGCCGTGAGCCTCATCCACTTTCACTGTTCCTCGTTAGTTCTTATTGATATCTTCTTCAATTAGCATGCTACACTGACCTTAGCACTCATAACCGTGGTGCATGTGGACGCACACTGCCTCGTCGCATACATCGAGAGCGGTAGCACCTCGACAACTTCCTCAGCAGCGCTCGTCTATTCGGGCAGCGCTCGATGTTGGTGTGATGAAGTATGTGGCTTTAGAGGTTGAGACCCCGGGTAAAGACTTAACTTTCACCCTCCATCCGTCTCGACCACCCCATAGATGTGCGGCATCTTGTCTCTCTTATTGGCATTTAACCATTCGCAGGTCGTTTCCCAGTCTGCTTCCAACTCGTCCTCGTCAAGAGAGAGCGAGTAAGCTTCCTCGTACGGTAGGTTCTTGTCTTTCTTTAGTTGGATTCTCATTGTAGTTCGATCTAGTACATCCTTGCGCTGCTTCGCAGCCTGTTGCTGGAAGGCTTGGTAGAAATCTTCGCCGTATTCGTTGAGGTCGAGCCATACGTTCAGAGTAGTCGCGTCCCATACGACACTCAATCTGATCCTATCAGTAGCTTTCTTAGGATCAGCATCTCGAACCGGCGCGCTGGGGCCAACGTTCGGTCGAAGAGGATGTGGATGTTCGATGTGCGTATCCAGAACCGTAGGCGCTGGTGAAGACTGTTGGCCCTCCATATTTCTTGCGTAAGATTGTTGCCGAGAGATGAGGGGCTCTAACACATGATGCGGGTTGTATCGGTCGTCTTGACGGTGGATGGAACTTGCGCCATCATAGGTCACTGCTGAACGATGGAAGGAGGATGCTGGAGGAGGTGTCGGGGCATGGGGACGAAAATCCTGCTTGTAGTTTTGGAAAGTTGAAGGATGCCGAGCTGTGGACTGAGGAACGATAGTGGGTGTGTATTCTAACAAAAGCGCGTATCTAGTCAGCCAGAGCGCATGCACCGCTTATCGCCACACTGTATACACACCTGCAATCTCTTGACCCGAATCGTAACAGCCAAGAAGGATGTCTATGTCAAGATCTTCTTTTGGTACCACGTAAAACAAAGTTTCGTGTGTGGAGTTGGAATGAGGTTGGCGCCATGTAAGCTCAATGGCGCATGAGACTGGTACCAGCCGAATTTCTCCAGTTACTCGATGTGGCACTTCCACGTGGGTCAAACCGGCCTGACTTATATTGAAGGAGTCTTCGAGTTGTCGTCTGCCAACAACGTCTCCGCGTATCACGCTGTGCTTGATCGAGGCCGGTCTCATTCGGACCTTGTGGTCTACGACCTTGGTGCCGACGAGAGTAGGAAGCAGGATGTACTCTCCTGAGCTATTTTCGTCCCTGGTAGAGTGAGATGTTACTGATGATGCTGTAGCAGGAGGGCTTATCGGATATGATGTCGAGGGAAAGCGGCGTGGCGGTCCCTGGCGGGGAGGCGGAGTTCCAGTGTGTTGCGATCCATGTGAAGAGGGCGGAACACGTGGTGGGAATGTGACATTGATGTTGTTCCCGACAGGTACGGGAGACTCGTTTTGCTTTGGTCTTGATTGTATCAAGGATGAGAACACTTCCTGGAGGGTTCTTTCCCGTTCTTCACAGCACCTAGTAAGGATCTCTACGGCCTGCTCTGGGCTATGGTCGACCAGCTGTGCGACACATTCACGTATGCGATAGCGATCCATGATGTGCAGTCGAGGCGATCGAGCTGCATCTAGGTGGGGCTTACTGATGTCGCACGGACGGAGTTTGGGACGCTGCGGAAAGCAGCGCTAGCTAAGGCGCAATCGTCCATTGTCACTCATGGTTGCCGTGGCGTGAGGAGGTAAGGAATTGATGATCCTGCGAAGCGCACTGCGTGTAGCACGAGTCTCGCGGCAAGGCAGAAGATGATGGGTGCGCAGGCCGAAGATTCGCACAGGAACCAAGAAGCGCTTATCGTTTCATCGGCATCCAGGGTGATGATTCGCTCGAAAATACGCTTTGCCGTTGCGAGTTGACCGGAACTGCACGTCGGTACAGGGCTGTGAGAACATCATCCAGCAACCTTGAGGCAGCCGTATGCAGCCTGCAGCACACCGGTCAAGGCTTTTTCGTACCCCGCTCGGCTGGCCAGAGGCTTGTCCCAATCACAGCTCCACAGCCTTCCTTCATCGTATGTGCTGAGGCATCCGAGTGTGGTCAATCCCATAGGTAGTTTCCTCATAGCAGATGTTATCCAGCGCATATTGTGGGCGCGGTCGAACATGTCGCAAATGTCTGCTGCTAATCGTACGTCGAAGGAAGTTCAAGTCATGACGGGGGTAACGTCTGTCAGCCGGAATACCGCCAGCGGTAATGCTCTTCAAATCAATGGCACTGTGGCAGCCAACGTACATAATTTCAGCATGTAAGTCGAACTCCACTACAATGGACTGAGCACGCTCCTGACAATTCCAAGCAACACCTTAGTCGTAAATTATCAGTATGGCTGGGATCCGAAGATCGTTCCCCCTATGAGCCAATCAGCATTACCGAGTAGATGCATAGCGATGACGGACGTACACAAGGTGTTGAAGAGTTCAGCTCCGTCGAAGGTGTCCGCAACGTTCACTGCACAACTCCCAGTAAGAGCACCCAGCGTGACCATCTGAAAGGTGGCGGCTGACGACGACTAGATACGCGCTTCGGATCGGTCTGTCCACCAAGGACAAAACTTGATCCTCAAGCCTAGCAAGAATGACAGTCGGCACCCAGTCTTCGCCATGTTTCGACCCGATATCCCAAACAATTACATCGCGGAGAGGATCGTGCGTCGGCTGAGCCTCGTAGTATACAAGAGTTCTTCGTTCACGGTAGAAGCTGGCTCTGACCAGATCCACCTTCCGCCCACGAATGATTATGTCAGTCTCGCCTGCTGCCCGGAAGAAGAGAAAGACGAGTTCGCCATATATCGCTTCTATATTGTTAAGCATCGCCAATTCGATCTCCTCTTCGGCGCTGGCTCGGTCAGGTCTGGCTAAACCGACAAGCGAAGAGACAAGAAGCGGCAATTGAAGTTAGGCGCACCCTCCACCGTCTTCCCGTCCGGGGTTCCAAGGACGACGTGGCATTATGCACAAGTAATGTCAGCTTTGAACCGCTTCTTTCAGAGAGATGTCCATCCTCATTGGACGCCAATGGCGGTGCGAACTTGGAGTTCTTTTGGGGTGCATCTTTGGCTGCAGATCGCTTCGCGGGGGCGAATCATTGGTCGATATCTTGCATGCACGCTGCGAACTGTCACCGGACCAACCGTACTTACGGTCGACTCGCAATCGGCACTGCGCCCCAATAACGCTCTGGGTAAGTTCAGCTGGCCATTAAGTGCTGTTCCGCACCCTTCGAGCTGTCTGCACAATCTCCTGGTACTTGTGCTCTTCTCTCTCTACAAGAATTTCAACCGATACCTTGAACACAATGGTGAGTCCACTTCCGTTGTATGTGTGGCAAGGCTAATTGTCGTAACAGGCTGAAGCGGTGGCTGTTGTATCCGCAATCCAAGCTACTACTCAACTCGTAGAGCAAGTCTGCCGAATCTTCAAACGCCTCCGCGATGCGAACGCTCGTCAGAAATGTCTTCCTGAGGTCCTGGCTCGACACTATAGCGAACTCAAAAGTATCAAGGCAATCATGGGTATGATCTACGATGAGCAGGACCTGAAGACACCCACTGTTGCCGCGGAGCTGGTTCGACTACAAGACGTGTCAGAGAGGCTGGCTGCCTTGATCAAGACCTTGGTTCCGTCAACCACAAGTAAGATGATCCAGTTTGCGCGCCAGCTGGTGGACGGCTCAGCAGACGAGAAGAAGCTGAGCGCCATTATGGGCGAGCTGGTCCAAGTGAAGGCTGTGCTCGTGCTGTCCATTCAAGTCGCCCACGTAGGAGTAGTCCGCACCATGGTAAGAACTTCGAGCTTCGAATCGTGTGAGACATTGACTGATTATGTGACGCATGTAGGGGAAACAAGCTGTAGCAAATGCGGAAGCTATACAGCGGATCGACGAGTCCTTCAGGGAGCTTGTCCAGGATTGCAAGGGCCTGAAAATTGCACAACTGCTCAAGGGCCGACGTCCATCAAGTGGGTTTTAGGCTGACGATGATGTATCCAGACTAACGATATTAGACGACGGCTTTGTCCCATTGACTCTGGCCGATCTCAAGGCTCTCGACAAGGCGGGTCATGGTGATGGCGAAGATAGCGAAGACGAGACGCTCGTTGATGACTCAGAAGCATCGCCACGAGAAGTTCCCGTCAAGACCGAACGCATCGTTATCAACAATGCATCTCGTGGTTACGCTATTCAGGTAAATGCTCCGCTGGATACAGATATATACAAGCATTTGAGCAGTCTGAGAATCCAGGACAACGTGGCCGAGGAGCAGAGTGTGCAGATCAACTATGGCACGACGACCAAGTCGTTGTCGATACTTCTCGAGCTCGCGCGACTAAGGCAGGTAAGCGCGCCCGTAATCGCGCGGTGAGAGATTGCTGTGAGGGTTTCGGGCTGGATATGGCGGCCCTATCTTTGTCTCGTATAGTGTGAGAATAGCGTGACGGCAATGAAATGATGCTTCATCTATATAAGGCGAGATTGGGATAGTGGAACGTGACTGATAAAAGTACATAACTCGTAGTTACGTGAAAGGGAGTCACGCGTTGCAGTGTTCGGGCTCAGGCGCTCCTCCCCCCAACGCGTTTGCGCTAGTGGCCCGGCGTAACCTTAATCCGGCAATGGCCAGCTTCGGAAGCTTCCACGCCGTCACGGGCGTCAACACCAAGGTGCAACAGTCGCCATCGCTATCTCACCCACAACCTCTACCCCACCGTCTTCGCCGTCGCTCACTACACGAGTTCCTTGCATTCAACCCTGCCCCAAACAACACCCTAGCCTAAACATCGCCGCCGGCGCCCGCCACAGCCATGGCGCTCGATACCTTCTTCCACAACAAGATAGAGACGATGAAGCTCGAGATCATACAGGGACAAGCCAAGCTACGACGACTTGAAGCCCAGCGCAATGACTACAACTCAAGAGTACGGTTATTGCGAGAAGAGCTCGGCCTTCTACAGCAACCGGGATCCTACGTCGGAGAGGTGGTAAAGGTCATGGGTACCAAGAAGGTGCTCGTAAAGGTTCACCCCGAGGGCAAATATGGTATGTATCACATTAAGCATAGACGGAATCAAGACTAATCAAGGCAGTCGTCGATGTCGCGGACAGCGTAGATATCAGCAAACTCACCGCTGGAAAGCGCGTCACTCTCCTCAGTGACTCCTACAAGCTCGAGAAGCTCCTTCCCTCGTCCGTCGATCCCCTCGTCTCCCTCATGATGGTCGAGAAGGTGCCCGACAGCACATACGACATGATTGGTGGTTTGGATCAGCAGATCAAGGAGATCAAGGAAGTCATCGAGCTGGGTCTGCAACATCCCGAACTCTTCGAATCGCTCGGTATTGCTCAGCCCAAGGGTGTGCTGCTATACGGTCCTCCTGGAACAGGAAAGACACTGCTTGCGCGTGCGGTCGCACATCACGCTGACTGCAAGTTCATCCGAGTGTCTGGTAGCGAGCTGGTACAGAAGTACATTGGTGAGGGTAGTCGCATGGTTCGTGAACTCTTCGTCATGGCACGAGAACACGCACCCAGCATTATCTTCATGGACGAGATTGACAGCATTGGATCAAGTCGAGTGGAGGGAAGCTCAGGTGGTGATTCCGAGGTCCAGCGAACCATGTTGGAGCTGCTGAACCAGCTGGACGGTTTCGAGCCAACCAAGAACATCAAGATCATCATGGCGACCAACCGACTGGACATCCTAGATCCCGCCCTTCTACGACCCGGGCGTATCGACCGAAAGATCGAGTTCCCACCGCCAACCGTCGAGGCGCGTGCCGACATTCTGCGCATTCACTCTAGGAGCATGAACTTGACGCGTGGTATCAACCTGACAAAGGTCGCAGAGAAGATGAACGGATGTTCTGGTGCTGAGCTGAAGGGTGTGTGCACTGAGGCTGGTATGTACGCCCTCAGGGAGAGGAGAGTGCACGTCACACAGGAGGACTTCGATCTGGCGACCGCGAAGGTGCTGAACAAGCACGACGACAAGGCGACCAGTTTGAGCAAGCTGTGGAAGTAGACCATGGTACGTGGTTATGCTACTGCGCTGGCCTGCATTATGCATTGCTGGTGTTTACGTCGAGATTATGTACACCAAACATAGACGTGCAGATTCTTGGTACAAACAAATAATGACTACCGACCTTCAAAATTCCTAACTTGGTTGACGTGGATCTCGCATGGTCAGCTCAAGTGTGACGGCACGTCATACTAGCGCGGAGTAACTCCCGTCAGGACCTAGCCCGCCATCTCCCACACCACCTCGCATGCACTGCAGATCGTAACCATCTTAACATCGCTTATCGCTTACCACAGGACAGTCGCAACGGCTTCAATTCCTTATCGCATGTGTGGACCAGAGTTGTGGACGCAGTACTACCATGGCGTTCGCCCTGGAGATACCCCGCGCATCGTGGTGGTGGTACCTTCCTCCTCGTGGTATTGCGCGAGCGGGAAGCCCGATTGCGCGACAAGGAACATTATAAGTCGTCACACTAACCATGCAGTTTCCCAACCCACTGCTCAATCAAATACCATTCCGTTAAAGATCCTCCATTCACTAAGTCCTTTAGCGACGCTAATGCTCAATGTCCCTCGCCACCTGTTACCTTGACTTAAACCGGCTGTCTGTGTTTACTGCGATCTAGCTTAACCTCCGCTCTTATATTCTTTGCGCTCGCAGCCAGCTTCGAAGGGCGAAAAGAAATCATGGCCGACTCGCCAGTAAAGATGGATGAATCGCACGGTTACAAGGAACCTTCAGCGCAAACCGTAGCAAGAGATGGAGAAGCGCCGGTGAGCGTTTTGGAAGATGGGTCGTTGGACCCCGTGTACGAAGCCAAAGCGAAGATGCTGAACAAGGCCATGCAAGACATAGGTATGGGGAGGTATCAATGGCAGGTAAGTACTCATCTCATCATTACTCCCACATCCATCGTGAACACACTTCGCACAAGCAACCTTTCCCCCATACTCGTCCTTCATCTCCATCCACTCCGGTCCACCAAACTGATCTCTCCCAGCTCTTCATCGTGATTGGATTTGGTTGGGCAATGGACAATCTCTGGCCGATAGTAACATCCCTAATCTTTACGCCCATCACCAACGAATTCAACCCCACACGCCCACCGCTGCTCTCCCTCTCACAAAACATCGGACTTCTTTTCGGCGCCGTCTTCTGGGGATTTGGCTGCGATATCTTCGGAAGACGGTGGGCATTCAACCTCACTATCGGTATCACAGCTGTGTTCGGAATGATAGCAGCGAGTAGCCCCAATTTCGGTGCTATTGGCACGTTCGCTGCTCTTTGGTCTGTTGGTGTGGGCGGAAACCTGCCTGTGGATTCAGCGATTTTCCTGGAGTTCTTGCCTGGGAGCCATCAGTATCTGCTCACCATTCTGTCGATCTACTGGGCGCTCGCGCAAGTCTTTGCCACCCTTGTAGCATGGCCGTTACTTGGAAACCTTACATGTCAGCAGACGGATATCAACTGCACGAGAGGAGAAAACATGGGATGGCGGTACTTTATGATCGTGAGTGTCGAACCTCCCGTGCTTACAAGTATCCGCTAACACCTTTCCTAGGTCATGGGCGGTGTTGCGCTACTAATGTTCATCGGCCGCTTCGTCTTCTTCACAATCTTCGAGTCCCCCAAATTCCTGATGGGCAAAGGCCGAGACGCAGACGCCGTCCGCATCGTCCACGAAGTCGCGCGCCGAAACAGAAAAGAATGCACCCTCACACTTGAAGAACTAGAATCATGCAACAACTACGCGCTACCCGGTACAGTCCAGCAGACCAGCACTGCCACCGCAGCCGTTAAGCGTAAACTCCAGAAGCTGGATAGCTCGCACGTCAAAGCTCTCTTCGCGACCAGGAAACTCGCTTTCTCAACCAGCACCATCACTTTAGTCTGGGCATTCATCGGCCTCGGCTACCCCCTCTACAACGCCTTCCTGCCCTACATCCAAGCCACCCGCGGTGCCGACTTCGGTGACGGCTCGACCTATATCACCTACCGCAACAGTCTCATCATCGCCGTGCTTGGCGTACCAGGATGCATCCTCGGCGCAGTACTCGTCGAAACACCGCATATTGGACGCAAAGGCACACTAGCCCTCTCTACAGTCCTCACTGGCGTCTTTCTACTGTGTTCCACGACGGCGCTTACTTCCAACGCCCTTTTAGGATGGAACTGCGCCTACAACTTCATGAGCAACATTATGTATGCGGTGCTGTATGCGTATACGCCTGAGATCTTTCCAACCAAAGATCGCGGTACGGGAAATGCTATAACGGCGAGTGCGAACAGGGTGTTTGGTATTATGGCGCCTATTGTGGCTATGTTTGCGGATTTGGAGACCAGTGCGCCGGTCTATGTTAGTGGGGCGTTGTTCATCGCTGCGGGTGTTTTGGTGCTCATACTGCCTTTCGAGAGTAGGGGGAAAGCGAGTATGTAAATGGGCAGGCCCAAAGCGTGTTCTGAACGACACAGATGCGTGGATAGTGTGAATGCATCTATGTACTTAGAACTGGGCTTCTAGAAGGAAGGTACAAGAACCGATATACAAGTAGTCATCACAATGAAGTCTCAAACAGCCCCTGGGGTAGCACCAGAAGGAACAGCACCCAACGACACAGCCCCACCAGGCGTAGTCCCATTAGCTCCCGGCCCACCAATCAAATCCGCACCCGTCTGATTCTGGTTCGCAACACCACCACCCGCCTGATAATCCGCAGCAACACCAAACATCTGATCGTCACTATGATCAGCCGTAGTACTAATACCGATCTGAATCCAAGCCATCAACCCATCCTCGACCCCATCACCCAGATACACGTACTGAGGAAACGGGTCAAAGTCGTCATCAGCCTGCACAACCGACAAGAAATCGTCGTCGTTGGTGATATACGGCTGCGTACTAAAGATATAAGGCTCGGTAGCCTCAACCTCAGTCTTGAGATCTTCAGGGTAGAAAAGCTGACCAGCATGTGCGATAGTGCCATCGGAGCCCGTGGTGCCGTTTGAGCGGACGGTCACATTAGACTTGACGAGAAGGTGCGTGTGTGTTGCGCGATCGGTATAGTGGCCCGGAGACAACGTTTCGAAAGCCACGACGCCATCAGCATCCGTTTCTTGGACGCCGCGTAGAAAGGTGGTGTTGAGGCCGCCTTGCCCGTTTTCAACGCCACTGTAGTAGCCCGTGGCGTTGGTGTTCCATATGTCGACGAAGAGGTGGGGGACGGGCTCGCAGGTGGTGATATCGACGTATTGCACTTCGAGGTAGAGGTCGATGCCCTTTTGGTCTTCGACTACGTTCTTCCGGATCAGTTCGCCGGTGACGTAGTAGGGCCCGAAGGTGAGTTCGGGGGTAAGGATGCATGAGGTGTTTGCGGCGAAGATGGCGCTGGTGAGAGTGTTGGGCGTGTAATCTATCGTGCCGGTCATGTTATGGTTGACGTTTTCGAATTCCTGGAGTTGCTTCAAATCGCGACGGTACTTCTTGGGCTCTGTATGCTGATTTAGCCATCGTTGTTGGAAACAGGGTTCGATGGTTGGGGGAGAGCATACTTGCAGTGATTCCACGCTTACGACGAAGCTCATCCAGCGTGTTTGCGCGACGTTCTTCAGAACGCCGCATCAAGCTTCGGTGCTTGAGCGTATTTTGACATCCAGCCAAAGAACGTTTCGCTGCAGCAGCGCGCAAGCCACGAACTTCTACCTCGCGTTTGATCTTGGCATGGTCGTGTGTCTCGCCGGGGTGAGCTAAGACAGTGCTAAAGAGAGAGGTGACTGTAGCGGCACTGGTGAGGACGGAGGCGAGTTTGACCATGTTCGATTGCTAAATTTAGTGAAGACAGAAGTTGGTATGATCTGTTGAACGATTGAAAGGTACAAGGATTTGATACAGCCAGCTAGCAACACCGGAGAAATGATGATGATGATGGAGCTATACACTTCACATCGATACTCACTGCCTTTATACAACAATACGCATCTCACAAGAACTGCCTGAGATATACCACTAACTTCCTATTCCTACATGTAGACCTAAAGCGATGATGTACAATTTCAGTGTATGTCTCACACGCATTTCGTACATGGGATATCTTACCCCTACCTAACCACGTTTCCCCTTGCTGTCGCATCGAATCCAGTCGAGCACTGCAGCCATCACCACTTCACCAACCTTACCAAAGCTTCGTCACGATACATGACGCGGCACCCAACAATCCAAGCCTCGCCTAGAATAGCTTCTCGTTGTACGAAAACTCTAACCCCTTCGTACTACATGTAGTGCTATTCGTCGTATTGTATAACGCGGCCATCCCTATGCGAAGTGGGTCTTAATGTATACGTCTGCCCGGGAGGTTGAAACGAATCAAATAATGAGGTCTGGCGGACGGGGGCGGCTGTACGAAGTGGGTCACGGGGAAACGGGAAACGGGAAGCGCCAAGCCTGGCCAACAGCCCGAATCAGCAGTAATCAAATCTCTCCCATTGGTTACCGTCAGCGTTATCTTCAAGACGTATGCGTATACAAGTTGTTGTAAGCCTCGTCGGACTCGTTGTTGATCTTTATATTGCTATCAATGAACGGCCGATTTTCTAAAAGGCGAAGACTACCTGCGAGCTCAACTCCAGCCCGCACAATACCATACTGATCTCATCATTTGCTTCCCCAGGCCTTCTGCATCAACTCCTCGACACCGATCGGATGAATCTGGGGAAATCCATGGTTTCTCAATCCATCTTTCGAGGCATCCATGTTCACACGTACGGCCAACATGCTGAACTCGACGACTAAGGGTTGAATGAATTCCGGAGGAAACTCGTATGTGCCTTCTGGTTGCTCGAGCACCGTCGCTTGACCTTTCTCCAACTTGTCGATGGTATCGTAGGTGATGTCCCATTTCGTGCCTGTCATGAAGCTGTTAGCTTTATCCCAATCGCCATGATAGGAGTGACAAGGATGACTTACCCGTAACCTTCTCCGCCAACTCAACAGCCTTCTTCCACGTCATCGCATCAGAAGCAAAAGGACTAAGCTCCGGCCATTTCTTCTCATCATCCAACGTCGCAACAATATACTTCGCCAAGTCCGTCGAATGAATAAACGAGACCGCCGAATTGCCATCACCTGGCAGCACCGCCTTCTTGTTCTTGAAGTCCAAAGCATAGTTGAAAGGCTTCATGTTGGATTTGACATGCGGCATGGCAAAGTAATCCGAATACCAGCCCAAGAAAACGCGTGTGAAGTCGATATGGGAGCTACGCAGTAGATCGGCGGCGTCAAGCCACCATTTCGCGGAAGGATACACGTCGAGAATGCCGGGTTGTGAGTAGTTGACTCCGTACTCGCTAGGCATGAAGCGCTTTACGTTGCCGGCGTCGATTGAGGCGCGGATGAGGTTCATCTGCGAGTCTGCGCCTGGTTTGTCGAAGAGGCGGAGTGCGGATATGACGATTTCGATGTTGTTCTTCTGGAGTAGGTCTTTCATTGATGCGACGTCATCGTAGTTTGTTTCGAGGACTGGCACGGATTCGAGGCCTAGTAGTTTGCTTGCCTGGATGTCATTTAGTGATGTGCAAAGTCAGATGGGTTTTGCGTTCATACGCTTCGGCTTAGGATCAAAACTTGATGTTTGCCTCGTCGAACGAGTTCTTCGACGATTGTACGGCCGATGCCGCCTGTGCCTCCGGCCACTGCTACGGTGACCATGGCTGAGTTCTGGTTGACGGACGTTGATGTGAAGAAGAAAAGTGGAAGTGACTAGGCGATGATGCAACTGAAGAAGTTGCTGAGAGTTGGTAGAGTTGATAATGACATTTGAAGGTATCTCAATAGGCTTTATATGGTCAGTATGTGGACGAAACCCGGTCGAAGGATTCATGTCTACACGAAATGGCATTGCCTATCCGTGACTGTGTACCTTGGCATAGCGACAGAAAGCTGCTTGTAGACATCGATAGAAGCTACGCGGCTGCAAATATCCGCTCGTAAATCTCCCGTCCAGTGGGAGGCCGCGATTCCAATAGGAAGACCTTGGCAGGGCGCATGACGTGACTACCACAAAGACATCAGTGTAAGCATCAACATGTGAGTTGCGGCGCCATGCCGGACTCACGGACATTTGTAAAGTGCGTAAAGTGGGGAAATCAGGGCGGAGAGAGGCTTGGGAGATGGGTGGCGCATCTGCGCTAACTATACAGGGACCGAGCTAAGCCCGTTTGAGCGGCCGTACGCCGATGATTGCACCGTAAACTGGAAACTTCAAGGTTAACGCCCTTCAATTATTCAGCTGAGTACCTACATATGCCCTGTTTTCGCTGACACACGTTGTTCGTCCGGTACCATGTTTTTCGTCCTGGACCGCGACGATTTGTCCTGATATACGCTCAATCGCGCTGTCCACGGAGCCCGCTCGTGGCATCCATATCATTGCCTATCGCATAGATTCATCTCATACCAGACGGTTTCTTTTGCCGCAATGCAGTCTCTCATATTCTCTGGCGAAGTACTCCAGATAATACGCATCGTATGCGGAGAAGAAATGGTGCTTTGGTGTCAAGGACATCGACAGACATCATGCACTCGGTAGAGTATCTTTATCTTTTAAGATGAGTGCATCTGTGCCCTATCATAGACACAAGAAAACTCCTAGTGATGTAGACGAACCATTCACTCGAGCAACGTACGGCCAACATGTCACGATCTCCAACCCTTCATCACACCCTTCATCACACACCCAAAAGGTTCACACCCATCTCTTGAAGCCACCCCATCACCGAAACACCATCTCCTCTCCAGCAATAAATACCACAGAACATCATCACCTCCCTCTAGCCCCCATTACTCTTCATACCTCACCCCAGCACGCACGTATCACCACCACAGTCACCATGCTCCCCTTCCTAGTAGCAAGCTTCCTCAAGGACAGGATCCTGAACAAAACCTTCTTCGTCTGCATCTTCACCCTCATCTCCCTGATCATCTACCTCTTCGTCCTCCTCGGCTGCATAAGCACAGGTGCTGGCATCGAGAGTCTGTATTGGGTTATGATATCGCAGAATGGGACTGCTGGACAGCCACCTGTTGCAGTGCGGATAGGGTATTTTGGTACGCACATCTCTTAACTGACATTCCGCGTGTTGGTATTAGTGCTGTATTGGGATTTGAGGTTACTGACAGTATAACAGGCCTCTGTGCATCCTTTCCACCAAACACCACGGCGCCAAGCGATAACCCCACACCAGCGCCTTTGGAATGCTTCCCAGGAGATACACCACCAGGTCTTTCCAGTATACCAATGACTCACCCCGTTCTCGCTTCCGCCCTGGCACTCCAGAAATCCTCTTTATACCCTCTTCCTGCGATCGCCTCATCCCTCTTCCTCATCTCCCTAATCTATTACTTCATCTTCCGCGAACGAGGTGGCCGGAACGAGAAGGCTTCGAAGTTCCTGCTAGGGGTCAGTGCGGCGCTGGGCGTTGCTGGTGCGCTGTGTGCGATGGCTAGTGCGAAGGCATTGCATGAGATAGGGATTCTGCTGGGACATCATGCGGTTGGTGGCGGTGAGGGGGAGGTCAGCATCGAAGCTGGGAGTTGGGAAGGTGTGGGGCTGTGTATCGCGGCTGGTATTCACTTTGTTATTGTAGTTTATGCGGCGATCGGGATGCCGGGGTTTAGTCTGGGTTTCGGTAGTGGTGGATATATCGGGAAGAGGTTCTTGTAGAGCTGGCGGCTAGAGGCGACCCGAATACAGGGATATGAATAGCTGTTGTTAATGCGAAATCAGTATCTTTGAATGCGATCAGTGGTAGGGTGTCATGATCCGCGTCAGCATCCACATTTGTGAAACAGTGTTGACCAAAGATGTCGGGTCTGAATTGAGGAATATCGAATACTGTCGAGCCCGTTCCCGAGTGTGCCCGCAACACCTTGAACGCCTCGCCAAGGAAACCCTCGTGCCTGGAGATGCCGTCGCATTCGTAATAGAAAAAGCGCTTAGAACTGGTCCAGGGTCATGCTCATAGAAACGTCCGTGTTCTCGACCATCTTTGTGAACTCCTCAAAGCTGATCTTGCCGTCGCGGTCTAGATCGGCCTCCATGATGGTCTTGTCAACAATCTACACGCTCGTTAGACGTCTGCCATATGACTTCCAATGTGTTTTACGCACCTGTTGCAGCTGTTGGTCCTTCAGGTTGCTTCCAACCATCATCTTCAGTACTATGAAGAGCTCGCCATTGCTGATGTAGCCGTCGCGGTCGATGTCGTATACGCGGAAAGCGAATCGCAGCTTCTCCTCCTTGTTGCCCTTGCTACTGAAAGCTGAGAGACCGGAGACGAATTCTTGGAAGTCGACGTCGCCTCCACCATCTTCATCGAAGATAGCGATCATGCGTGTTGCGAGAGGGTTCGAGGAGATTTGGGGGAGGGCTAGGAATTCGTCGCGCTCGATGGTACCAGAGTTGTCCTGGACTGAGTTAGCCAAGCATTCGTCTATTGCGTATGGTGCTGATCGCGCACCTTGTCCAGCTTCATAAACCGTTTCCTTAGGCGGTCAACCTCCTCGCGGTCAACTACATGCTGTTAGCAAGCTATTCTCAGCCCCGCAGGCGCCCCTTCGCGTATGTCTCCTCTTTCGCCGCTTACGTACAGTTGGACCCGGAGGCTATGTTGTCGAGCAGCCCGGACTGTTGGTTACCCATTCTGGCGATTTATCTGGGGTAGGAATTGGATGTGGAGGATATTGTCGTGTCTCGATGTCGTGGGGCTGCTGGTCGCCGCCGCTAGGGTCCAACCGCGCTAAAGGCAGGCACCGCGCCCCGACGTCAACCGCCAAGACTCCACCTTCCCTTCCGCGCATCCACATTCAGCACTCTGCTCGAGCCTCACGTCGCGGCGTATATTCAGACACAATGGAATCAGATATACCCACCGAAGTTGGCTCAGTGCTACAGGGCGCATCCATCAACCAACACCCATCCGTACGCCATGACCTGAACCCATCGACCGCCGCATCCCAGAAGCAGCCCGTCACCCTCAATGAACACCCAGATCCCGATAGCTCGGAAGTCGGCGAAGATGAAATACCAGTCAGCGTATTAGATCCGGTACTGCGCCAGAAGACGATGCCCCCGCTACCAGACCTTCGATTCGAACAAAGTTACCTAAAGAGCATCGAGCAAGCAGAGGGATGGCAGGGCGTGGCATGGATTACATTACGAGACCAGGTACAAGGAGATAAGAATGGAGCATATGGGAAGTTTCGCTAATCAGCGGCATAGGTCATCATGTGCTTCGCGCAAGGCGTGTTATGGACTCTCCTACTCAACGGCTGGCGGCATTGGAACCGATCGACCAAGTTTAGTGGACACGGCGTCGGTGCGCGGATACGGAGATGGTGGTGGGGAGTCAACAACTGGACGATACCGAATGCAAAGTCCAAGTTGAGGGATACCAAATTGGCGAAGAATGTGACGGAGGTAAGTGTGGCCTTCTTGAAAGTCCGGCGCCGAACACGTGTTTGAAGTGTGGGATCCAACGCTAATGATCTTTTAGTATTACGAAGGAGAGTTCTCAAGCGCTGCTCAAGATTGAATGCGATGATTCGTAGCTCTTTCCCTATTCAGCCATATCTGCACCTAAATGTCATAGGTTTGAGCAGGCCCTTTGGGCGTGACGAAAACACTCCAATGACCAAACCAGACCACTTGGTGTTACTCGCATTGCTAATTCTGTCCTAACAATGCACCTCAGACTCCTTAGTTCCGCGGGTGGCGTCCATCGGGTAATAAATGCGGATTGCGGCACGGGCGCCCCTCCAATCCGACGTATCCACACTCGCTCTCACCTCATCCTTGGAAATCTTCCTCGCGCCTCTCCCTACTTTCTATTACCCCAAACAGCAATACTTGCTATCTCAATCTAACAATCTCTCCACTCCGTCGTATCGTTAGTGCCGGATTTGAAGTAGAACCATGCCGGTGTATCTCATCCTATCCAGAATGCCCCGCAATCGCAACTTGCGGTTCAATACCGAAATAAACATCAGTCGCACCCGCTTGGTATCATCTACATCGAACTCAAGGGGCCAAGTTCCACTTTCCCAAAAACCTACTACCGTCGGCAAAAGCCCGAAAGCCAAATCCTTGTTGTCAGCCTTACCAAAGTCGTCGCAGGCCAACCAGAAAGTTCACGATTCCATTTCAAAACGACCGGCTGGTACCACCATAGGCCCCCGTGTTGGTCTGAGTAACCATAAAGTGGTCTCTACTGCCTCCCTTCGCTCCCGTCCAATCGACTCTCAATTATCGAACCTTCCACAACCGTCACCACCGTCACCACTGCCACAACCGCCACTATCTCAGCAAAGACAGGCAGCTCCTTCAAGACCATGCCGACGTGGTAATCTTCAAATTTCTCCATCCTATTGCATCTCTCCTGGCGACTCACAGACTTTCACGCTCCCTGACGGACGTCAACTTGGGTATGCGATATATGGCAGCAGACATCCGAAAGCAACCGTCATTGTCGCATTCCATGGTACTCCTGGTTCGCGTCTGGAATATCGCATGTGGCACGATTGGGCGTTGAAAAATGGCGTCACCCTCGTTTGTCCAGAAAGGCCAGGTTATGGCTTATCTACAATCGACAAGAATTACGTGGTAACAAGACACGCCCATGATGTTCAAAGGTTGATGGATCATGTTGGATATGAACAATATAAAGTCATTGGTGCTAGGGGTGGCGGCCCATATGCTCTTGCTATCACTCACATTTGCACCAAAGTGCAAGTTCAGGGCACCCTGCTCATGGCCCCCATAGCTCCAATTGATGCACCGAAAATTGGCGTGCCGATGAACAGATCTGGCGTGCCGATGAGTAAGTATCTATGGAGATTACTCACTATCTTCCCGTTTCTTATGGAGCTCAGAGTCTCCTTTGTAAGTAGGAAATTCTTGAAAACCTGGCGGCCATAAATCTGCCCACCGAAGAGTTACGCAAGACCAAACAAGGGCACAAAATCATCGAGGGGCACGCAAGACACGGTACTCCTGCAGCCTATGTCCATGATCATTGCGCGCAGCATCGCTATTGGGGATACGAGCTTAGGGACATAGATGCTAACCGAATCGTTATAATTGCTGGAGGCATGGACGTACAAAACCCTCCGGATGGCTTGCGATACATGCGCGATCGACTACAAAACACTGAGCTCTTCATACATCCAAACGACAACCACTTCACTTTACAAGCGAACCACATGCGTCGTGCGTTGCAGATTCTACGCAATATGTAATGATTACATATAGTCAATCCAAATACTCGCTTTTCCCGCCTTGACCCGAACCCTTGACTTTGTGGATTCCTCATCACAAACAGGAAGATGGAAATATGGATATCAATCTCAAGCAGCGCGTGATTGAGAACGAAATATGCATGGCTTAGGTATATTGTCTTAATGTACTGTTGACAGACTTGCCTAACGATCCAACCGCCTTATTCCACAATCTTGAAAGTCGCTACTTTGTCTTCGTCTTGCGCGATCATCTTCAACAGCCCTGGCGGTTCTCCGAAAACCCACCCTTCCTCCCTCATCTTCTTAATACCCGGCTTCTCTTCTCCTTCCACGGCGCTTCTCGAAGACAAGCTGTTCACGTTGTGCAAATCAATAAGATCTCGCATCTTACTAATAACCTCTTCGCTTTCATCTGCTCCCTTTTCCCTATCCAACCCCAGATCGCCAGAAAAGCTGAAGCGCGAGATTTTCTTGCCTTTCAAGCCTTCCGGGTCTTCCAAGGAGCCAAATGACCACCATCGAATTGAAAGATTGCCGGGCCAGACATGGTAGGTGTCGCCGAGTCGTAGAAAATGTTCAAGCTTTTCTTGGAGCGAGGTTGAGTCGTCGCCGAGACTCGACATAAGCCGTTCAGCAGAGAGCTCCCACGCAACTTGTACGGAACCTTTTCCCACCGGAGGAATTGTGATGAAAGTGAATCCAGGGGTATCGGGATCCTCGGGGCGTTTGGCAAGATCTGGGTCGCCTGATATCCGGTGGAACGTAATGCGCTTTGTGGGCCGGAGGTTAAGCACTTTTGCAGAGCCATCTACTTGGAGGGTGGAAGGAAATGCGAGTTCCGGTGAGTGCATAGCGCCCTTGCGAAACGCATCCTCACGAGGCGTAGTGTCGAGACATGAGTACTTGGTCAAGATAGTAACGGGTCTATCTGGGAAGACCGAGGAGGTTTGGTGGATAGTGGCGATCAGCTTCAAAGGTGATGCCGAGGGGTTGGAGATTGAGAGAGTGGCTGGTGGACAGAAGTTGAACTTAAGGCAGAGCTCAACTCCGTGGTTTCGAGACGACATGTGAAACTATTCGATATGATGTTGTAGTAGGAGACTGAGAATGCACTGCCGGGGATTAATGTGTTGAGATGTAAGGGATTGCCGTATCTGGACTAGACAAGATGTGGCACAGCTCCTTCTGTATGCAGGCGCGCCCAACAACAACCCGGATTCCGTCTATCTCGACATATACCTCGGAACTTTCATTGCAAGCCTCCCGATATGCCAGCTCTTGGTTTTCGTCAAACACTCTTTAATTGAGTAGTGCGCGGGACCGGTCACCTGACTGACTACCACCATAGAGACGAAGTTTGGAAACGCCGTTGCTGGCGCTCGACGGATGATGGCGACACGATCTTGGTACCGTCCATCATGCAACATACATCGGATAGGCCAGGCGCGGCTTCGATACGCATCAGCTTCGAGCAAAAAACCTTTGTACCCTAAGCTGAGCTCGATGCGAACTTCAACTCAGCGTAATCCAACTCAGCGTGGATTTGACAATACGCTTCTACCCGCTGTAATCTGGCCCTACGATAGCCAGGTAATCACCTTGCCCTCAGGAGCCATGTTGAGTTACGCACAACTCGGCCGTCTGGCAGAGGTGGGGCAATGCTGGGTTCTGTTTCACGGTACTCCTGGTAGTCGACTTGACTGGAAGCACGTACATCTGTTTGCTGCAAATCATGGCATCCGCGTCATTGCCATAGACCGTCCAGGATATGGCTATTCTTCACTGCATGATCGAGGAATGTTGGGTTTTATACGGGACGTCGAGCATCCGCTTTATTATCGCGGCGTTCAAGTGTTCAAGATACTTTCTGTGGGTGTAGGGGGGCCGTATGCACTAGCGGCGGCCTACCATTTTCCTAAACACCGACTCAAAAAGACATCTATCATGTGCGGCGTTAGTCACCCAAATTTCGCAGCCAAGAAAGCAATATCAGGATTGAGTGGCGTCGCCGAACAATTCAAGGATTGGATGCCCGCCCTGCGTGACCCAGGAGGCTACTATCAAAGATTTCGCCAAAGGAATATCAAGAGCCATGTCGAGTACACTCACCTTGTGAACAAAAACTATGAAGAGATGCAAAGGCAGGATTTTTCGGGCTACAATAACGACAAGTCGCTTGCTCCGCGACCGTGGGGGTTAGTTCCAATTCTCTGAGCTGCATACAAGAAAAACAATCACTAACAGCACGAACCACAATGTAGATTCAACCTGGAGGACATTGGCGCAAATCCGATAACCTGGTATCATGGAGCTGAAGACTTCGATACACCGTTGGGAGCTGCGAGCGAGACTGCCCTGTCTGCCAACCGGTACAGGCACAACGTTGACTTTAGGTCGTTTCCTGGCTTTATGCATTATACTTTCAACATTCACACTGGAATACAGATGGAAACTATGGAATGGTTGATGAGATGAGCTGTTCGTTAATCTTAGTATCAGAACTACACATAGCTTTGGGGTAGCTCTGCGAACGTATACCTCCTGAGAACGATTTGCTGTGCCGTTGGCTCTTTCCCCAGCTACAAAAGAATCTTGGAAAGCGTTAAGCGTGCGCCCTGCGAATACAACACATATATGGGACAAGTTCATCGGTGTCAGCATCCCCACGAGCGCGGGACTTAAGTGTTGGGCAATCACGTGACAACGCGCCGTAATTTACCGAACTTGGGAAGGCGCGTCGCGCTCGCCACCATCAACACCATACACTTTCCTACCCCACAGCATGCCCTCCCCCCAGCACCCGAACCCATGAAGCCTTTCCGGCCTCTCACCCTCGCTCGCCCTCGCTCAGAGACTGGCGAGCCATTGAAGAAGAAACCTAGAGTCTCGTCTAACGCGCTTTCCGCCGGCAATCGCCAACCGCTCAACACGCTAAACGCCCCCGCGCCGGCCCAATTCCTGCCCCCAGGTCTCGAAGGAAACTACTACACGGTGCTATGGCGGAAATACACGACTAAGAAGAACAAGACGTGGGATGGTGATGGCGTACTTGCCGTCACAGGCGGCTATGCCACGCTCACGGACAGCGAAACAGGAAAAGAATTGGGGAAAGGAGCATGCACTCGACCGCTGCTGCCAGGCTCGGCACTATCCATCGGCGGAAAGGAGCTGGAAGTTGAGGCGTCCATTGACAAGGCGGATTACCTTGCTGGGCGTATGTTCCTGGGCACGGCTGCAGCTGCACCTGTAGATCAGTCGAAGCGCGAGGAACCAGGATACACGCCTCTTTCGTCGGCCAAGTCGAAAGCAAACAAGAGAAAAGATAGTGGCGACGATGGAGCGGATTTACCTGAGTACAAGCCATCAGCCCAGCGCAAGCAGCAGTTCAAGGCGCCTCTATTGTCAAATACCGTCATGCCTCAACGAAACCCATCGATCCCACAACCACGCCACGATCCGAACGCACCGAACGCTCTAGTCATGAAGCGGCCGAAGTCATGCCCGAAAGACAAGCAGATAGTCGACGTTGTCGTTGATCCGGTCCTCAGCAAGCATCTGCGCGAACATCAACGTGAGGGGGTGCAATTTCTATACGAGTGTGTGATGGGCATGCGATGCGAGGGCGAAGGCGCGATCATGGCGGACGAGATGGGTCTAGGCAAGACACTGCAGACAATCACACTGCTCTGGACACTGATGAAGCAGAACCCGATACACAATGCCTCGCCAGTCATCAAGAAAGCCCTCATCGTATGTCCCGCTGGCCTGGTCGATAACTGGAAGCGAGAATTCCGGAAATGGCTGGGCAATGAGAGGATTGGCGTCTACGTGTTAGACGCCAAGAACAAAAAGATTGCCAACTTCACAAAGGGCAAAGCCTACAACATCATGATCGTCGGATACGAGATGCTGCGTGTTATGCAAGAGGAAATGAAGCAAGGGACTGTCGATATCGTCATTGCAGATGAGGGCCACAGGCTGAAGACTGCTAACAACAAGGCCATGCAGGCAATCCAGTCTCTCAACACCGAGCGGCGGATCATCTTATCGGGCACGCCACTGCAGAACGATCTGGGCGAGTTCTTCACTGCCATTGACTTCGTCAATCCTGGCCTACTGGGGCAACGATCAGCCTTCAAGCGTTCCTTCGAAGTGCCCATCGTGCGCAGCCGTCAGCCAGATGCAAGTGAAGCAGAGCTCGAAAAGGGCGAGGCACGATGGAAGGAGCTCGTATCCCTCACCAGTCAATTCATGATTCGCCGTACTGCAGAAGTGCTTGCAAAGTACCTCCCACCGAAGACTGAGCATATTGTCTTCTGCAGGCCAACCAAAGGACAAGCAGAGGCTTATCGCGCGATACTGGGCTCACCGACATTCAGAACAGCGTTGGGAAGTACAGATATTGCGCTACAGCTCATCAATGTGCTGAAGAAGGTCTGCAACAGCCCTTCGTTGCTCAAATCATCGAAAGATAATGACGACACACCATCGGAGATGCTGCAATCGCTTCTCCCACTGATACCGCCCAAGATTCTCAGCTCAAGTGCTTCGAGTGCGAAGCTGCGACTGCTCGACAGCCTTGTTCATCGGATCTACACCACCACTGAGGAGAAGATTGTCATTGTTTCGAACTATACTACCACACTGGACATGATCGAGCGACTCTTGGTGTCCTTGTCGTACACCTACCTCCGTCTCGATGGCAGCACACCAGCTACCAAACGCCAAGCACTTGTGGAGAAGTTCAACAAGACCCCGAAGACCACGTCTTTCGCCTTCCTACTTTCCGCAAAGTCCGGCGGAGTCGGTCTCAACCTTATCGGTGCATCGCGCATTGTACTCTTTGACATCGACTGGAACCCCGCTACCGATCTGCAAGCCATGGCACGTATCCACCGCGACGGCCAGAAACTGCCATGCAAAGTATACAGATTTCTCATCCAAGGTGGCCTAGACGAAAAGATCTACCAGCGTCAAGTCATGAAAATGGGTCTTGCAAACGCCGTCGTGGACAACAAAGCCTCCGCATCCTCCTTCTCACAAGAAGAACTCCGCGACCTCTTCCGACTCGACGAGCGCGAAGGTTGCCAGACCCATGACATTCTCGGCTGCACCTGTGATTGCAAGGGCTCACCAGAAGTCAAGCTCGAAGCTGAGGAAGAAGAAGCAGAAGCCCTCGAAGACGACATCGAAGATTCGGACGAAGACCCCTATCCCACTCTCACGAAAGCAAGCGAGGTCAATATCGAAGAGCAGGAAGCCAAGATCAAGGCTAGACGCGCGGCCAAACAGCCCAAATTGAGGATGTTGATGGAGTACCGGCATATTGATACTGAGATCCTCAAGGGAATGAAGAAGAGCGACAGAGAGGGCAATGAAGAGGATGGGGATGTGGATGATATGGCGGTCGCGATTGATGATGATGTGTTTCTTGATGTGCTAAAGGAGCAGGAGTGTAATGTTGGCTTTCTACTGACGAAGTCGACGTCTTGAGTGGAGTTTTATGTGGTATGAGGGGAAAGAGCTCAATAGTTTCGATAAAGGGATATGCATAGCGTCGGAGTTTTGGACATGGGTGATTCAGTGTCACTGGTTACCAAGAATTTCACGTATCGCAGTACTTAGAGGCTGCCATGGTGTTGTTCAATGATAAATCTTTACAATCCCATCATGTTCAAGTGGCGCAGCCTTTCATGTGGAATGCTGACGCAATAGGGCAGAGATGATCACTACCCATCGATCCGTAGCAAGAACGCACACAAACTGAATGGACTCGCATAGCACTCCAGTGCTGAGTGTAAAGCAAAGATGACCAACCGCTTCCCTAAACTTTTGATGTCTGAATGTGTAATGTAGAACCCCTTTTCCTTCTTCAAGCAAGACCACACCGGTAGCTGAACGTTCAAAGGGAAAGATTAATCGCTGAATGACAGGTTGGTGTACATCTCAGTCTGTTGAGCCCAGAACACTGAATGTCAGCTAGCATCCTTTTCTCAACCCAAAGAAGCGACTTGCTTACCTTATTGACCTGATTTGTAGGCGGGGTGTGTTTCCTTGTAACATTCGTCGCGACGGTTGTGGTCATGATACTTGCAGCCTGCGTCCCGGAAAAACGCAGCCGCGAATTGCCGCTTTAGTGATTCCCCCTTTCGCATCTTTGGACCGATGTATTCTAGCAGATCATCCATGAAGTCGCGAGGGTAACTTCTGCACCCTATAATTATGAAATTTTCCCCCTTCCAAAGGTGGGCGGCGGTATCAAGGACAAACTTTCGGTGTTCGGAACATCCGCCTGTTGCTTCATAGATGCATTTCACCAGGTCCATCATCTTGCCGGATTCAGAAACCATCTTTTCCTGGGCCAAGTCGATGCAGGCATCTTGGAAACCATTATCCTCGATCGCATGGCCGAGCAAGTAGCACTCACGCCACTTGGCAGCCTCTTCGTCGGCACGAGCCTCACGTTCTTTCTTCAGCCGAGATTCAGTGGCATCGTCTTCCTTGTCAGAACGGAGTGCGCGATCATTTGCCAGGGGAGGGTTTGTCGAAGGAGGAGTAGGGGCTTCTTCTTCCTCCATGATGTAGAAACCGCCGGTTTGGAGCCACGCCTGGTATATTTCGAAGGCTCGGACGGTGATATCAGGTAGCTTCACTTGCTTGGGTTTGGCGTTTTTACCCTTCTTCGTGTAGGCTTGGTCGTCGAAATAAGTACAACTGGTTCGAAGGATACTTCTGTCGACATTGAACGCTTTCAATTTCTTGCCGACGAGAACCGTGATGGGTTCAGACTTGAGGCTGCTTGTGGTCAGATGAGTGCGCTGGTCTGCAGCTTGATCGTACTTACCTGGGTCTCTCGACAATAGAACGCCTGAGTCTTTTTGGTTCGACAAAGTTGGCTGCTTCGTCAGTGGCTCGCTTTCGGAGGAGGGAGTTGTATGCCATTATAAGTAGTGATGAAGGACTTGAGCGAGTGTGGAGAAGGTTGGCGGGATAAGTCAAAAGTGCAAAGCCAGCGAGAGTCTTATGTAGTGATGTCCTAGCTTGAGACTAACAAGTGAAGGAGCCCAAAGGTAAGAACAGGTAAAAGAGCGTGCTATCACAAGGTCATGCGAAGCATAGAGTGAGCGTGGATCACAGTGGTATGGATGCATAGCAGTCAGCATAAGAGAGAGACGAAGATCTAGTATACTCGTATTGAACTGTACTGATAATACGGGTTGACAACTACATGGGTGCAAAGACCAGTGCATGACAAGTCTTGAACCTGATGTATGCTGCAGAAGGCACCGATGCTCCAACTTCCGATGTTGTCATCCTACTACCAAAACGTTCCTTCTTCTACCGGTCGCCCAGGAGTCAAGTACTAAGTCGTGAGAAGCACAGTTGCGCAGCCACTATTGAAGCTAGTTAGCACGTCGATTATGAATGGCGACATTCAGCAATTAGAAAGGCATACTGTAGCCCAAAGGTATTTAACGCACTTTACGCCGACAAAAGTCAACGTAAATCATGCTGAGTGCCTTCAGGCCACAGCATGCTGAGGTGGGAAAGCGAGCCTCGCTATAGGGTTTACTTACTGCTGGTCCAACCCGCGAGATTTATAGGCGCTCAGAAGCGGAAAGACGGCTTGGCCTTGTAGCAAATCTTCTGTCCGTGGTCGTGATATTGGCAGATTCCAGTGCGCTCAAACCATTCTCGCGGATTCCTGCTGGCGATGCCCTTGTGAAGATCTGGCATGATAGCGTCCAAAACGTCTTGTAAAAATTCCGCTGGATGTTCAACCTTGATTGGATTTTGTTTGCGTCCCCAAACATGGACATGTACGTCAACTGCAAATCTTCGGTGGGCGGATGCATTTGTTGTATGGGGATACACGAAAGACGAAAGACTCAAAGGAATCTTGTCCATAACGCACATCCAGTCGATCAAGGCGTCGATCAAAGCATCTCTGAAATCCGTGTCTCTTATGAAGTCACCGAGACTGTAAAGGTCCGACCATGTCAGTATCTCCGAAGCCACTGTCTCCAAATCTTTGGGTATGCCTTCGGCTTCTTGTTCTTGAAAAAAGACCCGACCGGTGTAGAGAAACTTGGTCCAGGCCTCAAAGTGCTTTGGTTCCGTATCGAGTAGGTCAACAGCAGCTTCTTGTCCTTCTTTCCACTCTTTCTTGAGTGCGTTGTTGAAGAACTCAGAGCTTGCGCGGAGCAGCTTCTCGTGGACGTGGTACTCTTGTTTGGTCTTGCCAACGCGAACAATAATGGGCTTGGAATCGACACTACTGTACTTAGTGGAAATGTTAGAAGTATTCATTGGTCTTACCTGGGACCATCGGCTGTCGAGTAGCACATCCTCTTGCGAGGGGGCTCAGTCTCGTTCTTACGGACCATGATGTTTTTGACTGACGCCGGTGTGTTGTTAATGGGGTTGAGGAATAAGAGCGTTTGCGATCGCGAAAGCAAATTTGCGTCGCGAACCAGCGTGGGCTCGCTACGCACGGGTTGATGAGAAGTGAAAGAGAGTTTGTAATCGCGCGGTGAGCTACCAAATCGGTCGAAGTGAGCGTGAAACCAAGCAGTGAAGGCTCCAGATCAGAATGTACCCGGAGGAATACATTGTAGCGTATCTAACAAAACATGCAGGGCACGAGACTATGTATACCTCAAAAGACCCGTTGGTCAATCAATATTACACACGTACTTCCCGGCCATCCCAATAACGAAGATGTCCGCCCATGTTTCTGGGAGTGTGACGTTGGTGAAGTCGTTACAGTCGGTTGCTTTCTTCCAGATTTCCAGGGCGGCAGGGAGGAAGGATAGTTCGACTAGGTGGTTTGACGGTAGTTTCGATTGGGCGAATGTTATGCTGTTGATATGGGCGGCGAGGTGTGCGTTGATAAAGGGCCTCCTCTAGTCCTTCGTCGGTGAAGTAACATTAATGTAAGCAAGGTAGATCTCGAAACGACAGAATTGCAGTTCCACAATTCACCCCTTATCACTTATAATTTGTAGCTGTAAAAAGACATTTGGCCCCTCAATGCTTACTGTGGCTGCAGGATACCCACCGAGGTGTCAGAGTATAAGGACCCGAGAGCGTCGCCCCAGCGAGACAGCAGAATCGCCTCCTTCAACCTCGTTTTCGATATTTACATGAATATCCTCTTCGCGACCTGTTCAAAATGGCGTCGCTTCCATATTTTGGTTTGGAGGTCGCTTCTACTCCGGATCCGGAAGTCGCTGGTAGTACTGACCAGGATACGCACAAATACCCGCGATACGCTGGAGCTTTTACAGACACAGACAAGATCCCATATCAAAACATCACATCTGTGTATGAAGAGCCGACCGCACGAACGATATGTGGCCTGCGGAAGAAAACGTTCTGGATCGGCGTGGTTGCCGCCATTATCATTGTTGGCAGTGCCGCGGGCGGTGGAGTGGGCGGATCGCTTGCGACAATCAAATCCAGCTCGACCAGCTCTACCAGCAGTACTAAGATACCCGTGACCAGCATACAATCGACTTCAACAACACCATCACCACCACCCACATCAACAACTCAGACCGTCAGTACGACCACCATCCTCGGCCCGATATACAGCCCCCAACCCACACTCCTCCGCGACTGCCCATCCTCCAACAACACCCTCCGCATCGTGACCCATGACAACGCCTCCTACAGCTTCCGCAAACTCTGCAACGGGAGCTACCTCAACATCCGCGGTGTCACTGCTCACGTGCAAGGCATAGTGAAGAGCCTCGACGAATGCATCGACAGATGCGTGCAGCATAACCAGGACAACCGCGCCGATATCCAGGCCGGCAAAGACCCTCTTTGCAATACCGTGTGTTGGCGCAACACTTTCGATGCGAGTAATGACTGGGAAGGTGGTCATTGCTTTGGGTTTACGACGAGGAATGTTACGGTGGAGGGGCAGGCGGTTTTTAATGCTGCGGAGGGCGATGCGAGATGTGATAGTGCGGCTTTGATCAATCAGGAGTTTTAGGGAGTGCTTGTTGTGAAGGGGGAGGGGGTTGTCGCTGGGTGAGTGTTGTGGAGGCTGGCTAAGGAGTACGATATTTTGAATGAAAGACGCGGTGTAGGGTTTGTTCTGGCAGTCCCAATGTAAGCGCAATCCCATCCTAGAAAGGCCCTGCGACACTGAACCCAAAAGGAATGTATTGGATTATTCCAGCGCCGGAGTAAGCCGAATGACTGGACCATCGAACTCGCACAGACAGAGGCGAAACTGCACGACGTCGTCATCGGAAGGCCGAAAGCATACGCTAGGTTGATGGAATAGTGAGAAGACAAGAATTGATTTACCAGCTAGACAACCAAGAAAGATAAACCGGGTATACGCGCCGACATTACATACATCGCTTGTTCATGAACGCCGTTTGTTGCGCCGCTTGTAATGACCGCTTCGCGTGTCGGGGGGAGAGGAACTAAAAGGGAAGACCGTGTAACCAGACCAGAACCAAGGTATATACAAGAAGCGAAGAAGCGAGGAGGTTCTGGGACGACAAGAAATCCGACCGTAGGTGTGATGTGATCTTCTTAGATCCCACCCATATCCACCTCTTTGCTCAAGAAATCCGCCTCTTCAAAGTCACTTCCACTACCCGCACCCACCCTTCCTTCCATGTGCGCCGCGTTCTCAAAATCCATATCAATATCATCATCGCTAATTGTCCTTTGCACTGTCCGTCTCGACTTGGGCAGCGCGACGCGACGCGGTGGCGGCTGCATATTGAGTCCCTGGGGCGGTGTTTCGCTCAGCGGGCTAACGGGCACTTCGTCGATTTCGACGCCCATGCCCATTCCCCTTGTCGATGATGATGAGCCGAAGAAGAAGGTAGTGTCTAATGTCCTGACTTCATCTTCGTCCTGCCATGAGCGTTTCGAGGGGTTGTGTGGACGTTGCGAGGTCGTTGAGTATCCGCTATCTGTGGAGGCTTTGGAGGAGAAGGGCTGAGTGAAGGTCTCGGCGGGGAGGGGGAAGTAGTTTGGAGGTGGTGGCGTGCCGTTCGCGGCGTAGAGATGTGGGTTGGTTGTTGGTTGTTCTGCGAAGCCGCCGATTTTGTTCAAGCCGCAGAAGGGCAGGAGTTCGCGCTGGTGCAGTACCTCTTCTGATACAGGCTCTCGGGGTGGTTTGACGGCCAGGGTGGGCCGCGACATGGTGGTTTGGATGGAGGGGAGGCCGGATGTCTTGTGGATCTTGTAGCCTTCCGGCACGCTCTTTCGCACTCTCATGCCGACGCTGAGGAGGTCTGCTTGGACTTGGCCGGGGACGTCGGGGGCGAGTTTCTCCCTGTGCTGGTGCTGGTGTTGCCTCGTGTTTTGGTGTCGCGGTCGGGTAATCGGATCTAGACCCCGCAGATCGTCGGTATCCTCGAAATCGTCCCGCACCTCGAAATAGCTTGTGATGCTGGGTTGGAACTTTCTCTTGCTGCGGTGTTCGTCGGTCGGCGTATGGCGAGCTTGCATAGCGGAGTGCAATTGTGTGGATGTGTGTGTGAAGGGGGAAGGAGCGGTCGGAAGGCGCGGTCAGGCAGGATTATGCGGTGTCGCTGAGGTGGAGAGGGGATCTTTCTGATGCCGCTTCGATGCACGCTCGAGCCCTTGGGGGCTGAAGATGGACAGGGTTCCGGGATGACAGGACGGGTGATCAATTTAGCTGCTTAACGAGGAGCGGCGGGTAGATTTCGCTTTCCGAGTCACGCTCCGGTCGGAGTGCAAGAGGGAGAGAAAGAAGCAAATGCGACAACCCAAGTTCGCTCGAGGGCCTGGCCGGATGACGGCAGTTGATGTCAGTGTGAGGAGTCGCGCGCTGATCAGCGGTCGTGACGCGACTGGACGGCCGAACTGGAACCGCGAACCAAACGATGATCGTTGACCGGCTTATTCACGCCTTCCCCACTGCGGTTCGCTCCCTATCTAACCTGTCAATTGTCGGAGATGCGAGGTCGTCTCAACGCTGCCCTGAAACCGCTACGTGCAATGTCTCATGAACAATGTCTGGCTGGTACAAAGACAATTGCTTGTCGCGCGCGCTGCCGTGCCGTTGCTCTGCGCGACAACTCCTCCGAGGCTGCTTGCTGGCCCGTCCAACTTTCCAGACAATCCATGTCCAGCAAACGCACGCTTCCCACCCAGAAACACAAAAGCGCCATGCAGCGGTTCAGCATGATTGCCTGTTCCCGCTCACGCACGCTTACGCATCCTGTGCTCAACTCCAGGGTGATCGTCCATTGGACTTGTCGATCTGATCTGGGCCCAGTCCCCCGCAATATCGCTGCACAATGCCTCATTCCAATCTCAAGCGTAGTGAGGAAGATGCGATTGAACGCAAAAGAGGCCTTCATTTGCCTAATAGTACATTGAAAGGAAGACCCTTGTTCAAAGTCACAACCAACGACCTATGACGCCAATACACCGGTACGCCTTCCCCCTTTGGACACGCTTGCTGACAGAGGTCCATAGCCCAAATGCATCAAATCTCTCGACTTAATACGCGCCTCCAAGCGCGTATACGTGTCTCGTTATCATCTCTTCTCGAATTAACATCGTCCTTGGGATGTGCCTAGTTGTTCACGGGAATGTTGCCCATCTCAACTTCCTTCCTCTGCTGCCTCGCTGCCCACTTGTCTGCCATCCAGGTAATCATTGTGACAGCCATGCTTGCGCCCACAAGTAGGAACACGATGAGGGTTCCGTATAGCGCAAACTTGCTTGCTCCACAGAGGGTCTTGAAGTCGCTGTTGCCCATGCCAGCCGGCATGGCAATGTCAGCAGGCAGATCCTGATCAAGCGGTTGAGAGCTTTGCATCTTGCAGGTCCATGTCTGGATGGTATCGACTTCCGGCGCGTTGTTGTTGAGCATATGGGCCCAGATAGTGGTGATCAGGGTGAGGAGAAGAGTAGGAAGGAGGGTAGCGAGAGACAGAAGAGCACGCAGGGTGTATTTCTGACGAAGCGCAAGCTGATGTTTGTTAGAACGATGTCCTTTGCATGAGATTATTCGACGGCCGCATACCTGAGGGAGGAACGATGCGATCAAGAATGCGCCACAGAGAACCAGAGTCACGACTGACGACGCAATGAGCGCCTTAGTTCCCTGTACGTCGAAGTGCTGAGGCCACATCGGCGCCCACCAAGGGTTTGTGAGATGTTGCCTGTTGAAAACATCGAGGGTGTGTGCCGATGTGCCAAGAATGCAGATGCTGAAGACGACAACAAGGCCGGTGATGATGGCCTGAGCCAAGTGGAAAGGAGCGGGGTTGATCTTCATCGTGATGATAGTCGTTGGTCTCGAAGTCGCTTTTTATATTTCGAAAACGCGGAGCGTAGGTATGGTATAAAGATCGGATGGATTACTAGGCGTCAACCAGTGCGCACCTTTCTTTCTCGGAATGAAGGACGAATGAACGAGAGAACGAAATAACAAGCAAGCAACAGAAAGCGGCCTGATATAAGCTAAGGCTTCGAGTCGATCTTCTTTGCCTGGGATGGGGATGGAAAACAACTCTGGGGGTGGCACATGTCTTTAAAACGATCTCGGTCGCAATGGGGGTTTCACGCCTACAGAACACATCGTGCAACCCCCTGCAGCCCATCTGGCGTTCGCGTACAGGAATAGACGAACAAGAGCAAAGAAAGAACGGCAATCTGTCTTGCCGCTGCGACCATCAGTCGGGCCTGGACTAGCAGCGCCAGTGTGCTAGGCTTGTGGTGAGGGTATTGTTGTTCGCAGCGCGTAAGCTGCACACCAGGCCTAGAATAGCGATATTAACCTGCATGGGGTCTTGCCGTATTACCGCATGTGTGCATTTAGCAGCACATGCCGTTCCCTGTGGTTCAATGAGCATGCCGATCGTACCGTGCGTCAAAGACTGTGGCTTGTCTGTGGTTCCGCTGGTAGCGAGGTAGGGCAGAGTCAGGGCATGAGCGGTTGTAGTGCGCTGTCAGCCGTCGAATGAGGATACAGAAGGATGCGAATGCAGGGTCACCAGAGTGTGAAACGCGAATGGAGCGTGAGCGCTTCCAGAGTTGAGGTGCAGATGCTAATTCGTGAGATGTATGGGCGCTTACAGCCTGGGGTTCTTCTGCGCGATGATTGGCTATGAGCGCCTGACGCGAGGAGTGAGACTTTGGAAGCAACGACCAACGAAAATAGCAGATCCTCCTGATAGTAAGCTCAGTCGATTTTCTTAGAGAGGCTGGTGGAAGTTTATGAATCGTCCAAACTGCTCTGCACATGGGATGTTGTTGGAAAGGTGAACGCTGTATTGTGCATTCTATGTCCTTGGCACAAGAGTTCTTCCAATATATGGCACAGTATATTAAATGGCCATTCGAAACATCTACACACGCTCGCTGACTGCGATGGTAATACTATTCTACCAAGCTGTCGGAGCGCCGCGAAACGCCATGAGCGGAGAGTCGGCTCGGAAGCGCTATCAAAGTTGACCTGTGAGACCTCCAAAGCCCCACTTCCGCCGCCCTGAGCTTTGCGACTCTTTCGCCTTGCCCTTCTTCGCGGCCTCTAGAGAATGTGTCTTCTCCCAATCTTCGTCGGCCTTGTACGCAGTGATCGCCTGCTCGAGGTTGTAGCTGGCTTGTTCGAGGTAAAGGAGTGCAACGTCGTATCTAGTGAGGATGTCAGTTCTCTACATGTCCACTATATGGTGGGAGGTGATGCCCTTACTCCGCGACCTTGCACTTGACCATAAACTTCCGTAGCTTTGTCTTTTTGATCTCTTCCTCCTCGCCCTCTAATGGCCTCGGGCTTAGACTGACCCCACCTTTGTAGAACTCTCCCGGTATGAGTACCGTCCTACGCGCCGCTAGTAAATGATCCGCATACAAGTTGTTCGTTCGGCGCAAGGCGTCGGCGGGTACACCATATCGGAGCGATAGCGATAAGATCGAGTCGTTGTTTGGGTCGACAAAGTGTAGAACATCAGGCGCGTCCTGGGCGTCTGTCCTCGACTTCTCAGATGGTGGTTGCAGCGTGTTGCCTGCTGAGTATGGTGGTAGTTCGTCGTCGACTTGCTCGCCCGGTGGCGAATACGTAGGAGGGTCGCGGAGACCCTGTGGTGGTAGTGCTGATGGCCCTGTCGCTATCTGGCAATATGGGCAGTAGTTTTGAAATCTAGGGTTATCCGTCAAGCATCTGGCGCATATGGCACGACCGCAGCAGTCGAGTCTGCGCTCGAACTGCGACGGCTTCTCGGTCTTCTCATCGTATGTTGGGGGAATAGAGGATAGGAGCGCAGCGCAGGTACAGCAGGCTTCAGACATGATGAAACAGAAGGGTGAACTAGAGTGTATGAGGGGACTTCCGGATGTCTACACGTGAGGTTCGTAAGGGTTAATGGGAGGCAAAGTGACTGCTGCTACGTCATGACTAAGACAGTTGGCGATCGCGAGGGCACGTGAAGGCGCGATAGTATCGCATATATGTGGAGTTCAAACCATATGCCCTGCGATATGTTGTCCCGTGCTCGGCAAACACAACCTCTCTCTGTATCGTGAATGCGACGTGTGGCAGGACAGGCAGGTGTTGGAGTTTGGCGCTGGGTGCACTGAGCCTGCAAGGGTCCCGTCGTTGCTGCCAAGCCCAGCCCCGTTAGCGAGGACACGGTCCACCACACCAATTTGCGCCTTCCAAACTCGAACTTTTCCTCGCAACACCGACCTTCCCTACCGCCCACCGCACCCTCACGAGGTATGTCTTGGACCCGAGTGCCCTTCAGAGCCCGGGGATGCAATCGCCGCCGTCCGCAAGGATGAGGGCGACACTGCTTCTCCTCTTCGACACGAGCTGAAGAACCCTTCTGCAAGGGCACTCTCCATGCTCTGGCATCTGGAGGCTAACCACGCACGCGCAGATACCTCAGTCGCCTCCGCCACAGAGAATCTCCCGTTAAACCGTCAACATGGTCAAGACTTCCGTCCTCAACGATGCGCTCAACGCCATCAACAACGTAAGCTACAGCACTGGAGATTGACATGGACACGCGCTAACAACTGAACAGGCTGAGAAGGCTGGCAAGCGCCAGGTCCTGATCCGTCCTTCCTCCAAGGTCATCGTCAAGTTCCTCACTGTCATGCAGCGTCACGGTACGTCGACTCCTTCATCTATCACATCACGCGTCATGTCCCCAAAGACGTGTATTCCTCCGCTAGCAACCCCATCACCTCTTCGGGCTGATAACTACTCACTGATCTCGACTCCCCACGATCAATGAGCTTTAAGTGTCCGATAAATTAACTGCGGAGGACTTACACGTCTTCGGATCCCTTTCATGACGTCTGATGTTTATTTCGCCGCAACATACACTAATTCTCTTCAGGTTACATTGGCGAGTTCGAGGAGGTTGACGACCACCGCAACGGCAAGATCGTCATCCAGCTCAACGGCCGCATCAACAAGACCGGTGTCATCTCCCCTCGTTACAACGTCCAGCTCCGCGACATGGAGAAGTGGGTCGTCAAGCTACTTCCCTCGCGTCAATTCGGTTACATCGTCCTGACCACCTCCGCTGGTATCATGGACCACGAGGAGGCCCGCAGGAAGCACGTTGCTGGCAAGATTCTCGGTTTCTTCTACTAGAGGCTGTCTCGATATGTGGTGGTGTGGGATTCAATATACCCTGGCTTGGGCAAGCTTATGTTTGGCCAAGTAAGCCCATCTTGGGAACGTTAGACGAAGGAATGACAAAAGTTCATGACTGGGAAATTTACATGTCCGCTGTGATGCTCGTGATAGTATGGCGAAATAATGCCAAATGTCGATTGACACCTGAACATAAACGTGTCGTGATTAGTGTAACCCGTGGAAGAGGATGATAGCTTGTACAGCGTGATGGTAATCTCTCAAGACATCGAGATGTTGCCATCGTAACCCAATGGCGGACCACAAATGGATGATGAAGATGAAGGTATTTGAAATTTGGTTCTCATTAACTATGTACAAGACACGGTCATCAAGCATGCTACCCAGTAAAACGCCAACCCGCGCCTTTACTTTTCATCAACAATCATCAAACCATGAATCATAAGTCCCATCATGATGCCTCTACCAAGGCACTCTTCCCAAACGAATCGTTCCCAAAACGCCTATGCTGAAATGCCTCTAACTCAATTTCCCACCCTCTTCACATTCCTCTAGTCATAAAGATCCATATCCTCCTCCGCATCCAACTCAGCAACAGCATCAGACTCATCGTACATCTCCGAATCGTCCTCGCTATCCGTGTGGTTGGGCAAGACCATGATATGTCCATCATCAAGCACAACCCTCGCCGTCTCACCCTCCTTGATAGAACCACGGAGGATAAGCACCGCAAGCCTGTTGAGCACCTCCTTCTCGATAAGACGAGCAAGCGGTCTAGCACCGTACGCAGGCGAGTAGCCCGCCGAACCAAGGTAATCCCGTACCTCAGGCGTCATCTCGATGCGCACATTACGTCCGTTCTGGTTGAGACGTTTCTGGATTTCGCCGAGGCGCACGTCGACGATCTTGCGGATCTCGCGCTTGGTGAGGCGGTTGAAGATGACAATGGAGGAGATGCGGTTGAGGAACTCGGGGAGGAACCAGTTGCGGAGGGCGCCCATGACCATTTCTTTGGTGGTGGGGTCGATCTTGCCGTCGGGTGCGTTGGGGCGGGACAGGTGCTCGGCTCCCAGGTTGGAGGTCATGACGACGATGCAGTTCTTTGCGTCGACGACGCGGCCTTGGCCATCGGTGATGCGGCCGTCGTCCATGAGTTGTAGGAGCACGGTGAGGACTTCCTTGGCGGCCTTTTCGACTTCGTCGAAGAGGAGGATGGAGAAGGGTTTGCGGCGTAGGGCTTCGGTGAGCTGGCCTCCGGCGTCGTGGCCTACGTAGCCGGGTGGTGCTCCGATCATTCGGCTGAGGGAGTGACGCTCTTGGTACTCGGACATGTCGAACCGGATCATGGCCTTTGCGTCGTCGAATAGGAACTCTGCAAGAGCCTTGGTGAGAAGTGTCTTACCGGTACCGGAAGGACCACAGAACAAGAAGCTGGGCGGTTGGTTGGGGTTGGCCAGACCAGAGCGCTGAAGTCGAATGGCGTTGGAGACAGAGACGACAGCCTCCCTCTGGCCAACGACGACTTCTTGGAGGTGCCGCTCCATGTTGAGTAGCTTGTCCTTCTCTGTAGTCTTGAGTCGAGTGACTGGGATACCGGTCCAGCGGGCGACAATCTCATTGATCTGGTCTGGACCAACGGAGTCGCTCATGAGAGCCTCACCACCTCCACTAGCTTGGTGAGACCACATCTCTGCATCCGCGCGGGCCTTGTCCCTCTCCAGCTCGCTGATGCGCTGCTCGACATCGGGAATGGCGTAGTACTTGAGATCGGAGGCAGTCTGGATGTCGCGCATACGTTCGGCTTCGGCAAGCTTCGTCTTGAGACCTTCGAGCTTGAGCTTCTGCTCCTGGATGTCCTTGCTGCGACCCTTTTCGCGCTCGTACATCTCACGAAGCGGCTTCAGCTCTTCTTCGATGTTGGCGGCCTCTGCGCGCGCCTCCTTCAGACGGACTTGTGAGGCTTCGTCCTTCTCTCGGGAGAGCGCGTGAATCTCGATCTGTAGTTGTCGGTGGCGTCGCTCGAGGTTATCAAGCGCTTCGGGTTGTGACTCTCGGGTGACACGGACGGCTGCCGCAGCCTCATCGATAAGGTCAACGGCAGAGTCGGGTAGTCGGCGCTGAGTGAGGTAGCGAGCAGCAAGGGTGGCTGATGCGACAATGGCACCGTCCATGATGGTGACACCGTGATGGGTCTCGTAGCGCTCCTTGAGACCACGGAGGATGGAGATGGTCTCGGGAATGGACGGTTCCTTGACGAGGACCTGCTGGAAACGACGCTCGAAGGCAGCGTCCTTCTCGATGTACTTTCGGTACTCGCCGAGGGTAGTCGCACCAATGCAGTGGAGCTGACCACGAGCCAGCATGGGCTTCAGCAAGTTGGCAGCGTCCATGCCGCCCTCTCCGGATGAACCAGCACCCATGAGGAGATGGATTTCGTCGACGAACAATACTATCATCTCCTTCGACTCCTCGATCTCCTTCAGGACGCCCTTCATGCGGTCTTCAAACTCTCCGCGGTACTTGCTGCCAGCAACCAAAGCACCGACATCGAGCGAGAGCAGCTTGCAGGCTGCGAGGTTGGCCGGTACATCCGCATCGACAATGCGGCGGGCAAGACCCTCGACGACTGTAGTCTTACCAACACCAGGTTCTCCGATGAGGACTGGGTTGTTCTTGGTTCGCCGAGTCAAGATGCGGATGACTCTGCGTGTCTCGTCTTCTCTACCAATGACTGGGTCGATCTTGCCCTCTCGTGCCATTGCCGTCATGTCGATGGTGAACTTCTTCAAGTTCTCATTCTCCTGCTCCGCGTCTGCCGACTTGGAGTCCACCCGCTTTGTACCTCGGAGTGCCAAGATGGCGTTGTCGATTTGCTTGACGTTCGGTACGTTGGACTCGGCGAGGATCCGTTGCATTTGCGCATCCTGGCAGAGGGACTGGATGAGGTGGTCGACGGCGATGAAGCTGTCTTTTTGTGTCTTGCTCAAGTCTTCGGCGGAGCGGAGCACCTTGGCCATAGCAGGTGAAGGTGAAGTCCGCTCTGGCGGAGGGTCTTGGCTTGGTAACCGTACCATAGCCTTCTTGAGGTTGCGCTCGAAGAGTTGTGGGTCGCCATTCGCGCGTTCGAGGACTTGCTTGAATAGCGGCGGCGGCGGTACGTCGACTTGGTTCGCCAGATCCTTGGGCGGATCTATGAGCGAGACGGCGAGGTGGAGGGGTGTGAGTTGTGAGTGCGCATAGCCCTTAGCTAGATCGAAGCTGTCTGCTAGAGCCTTCGCGGCGCGGTCGGTGTAGGCGTCGAATGAAGTCATGGTGATTCGTGACTATAGCCTGGTGTATGTGGCCCGAAGCCAAAGGTAATAATCGTGGGTCGTGAGCTCGTACTCAGGAATCGTGTACGCGTTGTGTTGTTGTTGGGTATCTCTGGAGAAGAAAGGAAGTGTTGCACAAAGGACTCGAGAAATATTTATAGGGTAAAGGCAGCTTTACTCAACACTTCGCGAGGCGTCAGGAAGCCGTCAGTGACATCGTGTGGTTTCTCGTCATGTCTCGAAGCTAGGCGTGGGTTCTGCCCTGTCGGTAGAAGCTTCTGGATCCTCGTACAGGTTTCCGGTCAGGCAAAGAGCTCCCCGCCAATCGCAGCTACGTCACTCGTGCTGCACTATACCCGATATGGCCTAGACCAGTCGCGTCGGCCCAACTGGTGCCACATCAGATCATGACTCCACGCCTACCCAACGTTCCGCCTGCAATGACCATGGTTCAATGCGACTCAGGCGGATCCGCGATCAGCGTGGCAGGTGTGACTCTTCACGCCTTGCGGCCTGACGTCCGGTTCGAAAGTCAAAGGGCAAGGTATACTCGACACGTCAGCAATATTTTCCTACATCGAAGTTTGATTCTCTGGATGAGAGAACTCGTTGACCAGGCAGAGCTTCACTACCAGGATTCTGGCTCGCTCCCTCGTTTGGCCACGTTTGTTGAAGTCCGCCAACTTCGCCTCGATGGTTTCCCCAGCTGCCAATGAAAGCCTTGCCCTCGTAATCCTCGACTCCTGTCCACCATTTCCCTTCGAGTCTGTCCATCAGCACTGCCGCCTTCTCGTCCATTGTCATACACAGGAATAATCTCGACACGTCGTCTGGAACGACGTCGTCCATGCGTCCACCAGGGTACATCATGGTCGGCCACTCAGCTACGACCAATCCACCTGAACTAGGCCATGCGACACCAACCCACGCGTTTTCCCTTGCCGTCGGCTCAGGGAGAGCAGCCATTTCGTCCTCATCTTGCAAGTGGTCGGGTTGAGTGAACAGGGAGTGTCTAGCGGGAGAATCCCACCACTTCCCACCGAGCAATAGTAAGCGCTGAGCAAAGTCGTCTTCCTCTTGTCGAGTGGCGTGACGCTTCTTCGGTGGATCGAGACGGTCGAGTCCGAGAAAGTCGAAATCTGCTGGACAGGGCCTCTCGAGCACTATCACACCTCCGCATGACGGCCAAGCGAAGATGGTGATTTCTTCATAGAAGTCGATACGTTTCCTGAGATCTTTGACGCTATTGTAGATGGTTCGCGGACCGCACAAGTGGATTGGACGTTACACCGGACTTACGAAACGTGCGCTATCAGATGGAGGTGGTGGCATGGGACGGATTAAACTGAGCAGGCTACCCATGATGAGACCGGAATGTGTGTCGAGTGCAAGGGTGCAGGCGGGGAACAGAAGATCAAGACGCAGTAGCTGTGCCGCATTCTCGATCACATGCAAACCTCAAATGGCGGAAACGCCCTCGCTCCGGCATACGCAGCACGTCAGAGATTATGATTATTGATCACACTGCGCAAAGCAGTACAGGGCCTTGATGATGTAAAATAACCATCATACTTTCGTATTTTTGGTCCTATTTTGCATCCAACGCATCACCCCAACACTTCTTCTCCATATCGCGCCTCACGAATGGCCACGCGAGAAGCATGAACATGGCCATCAGCGTATCCACGATCCCCCATCCACGCCGCGGACTCGCACCCATAGCATTCGCCCACAATAGCTGAGGATCGAACCTCCCATCACAAACAGCATAGTCGCCGCTCGCTACATTTGCCACAATCTCGGGCGCAATCTTCGCAGCGTAGGGAAATTGCTTCTCCAACTCGTGAAGCTCGCCCGACGTGCCTTCAATGCGCTTGGTAAGTTCGGGTTTAGTCTTTTGCTCTTGCAGGAACGTTGGCGTGATGAAGTTGTGTGCAAAGATACATTGTACGGTGTATGTGCTCTTTGGGCCTGAGTACCGCATTACTTCCATGCGTAGGGTGTCGGCAAGTGAGCGTTGGGCAGCTTTGGCGGCTTGATGAACACAGTACCAGTTAGTATGCTGGCTTCAAGACTTGTACCATTCTATGACGATGCAGAACCACTTACCGGAGTATGCTAGGTAGCCAGGTGCCGGAACAAGCGATGCAGAACTGTTTACGAAGACGATCTTTCGTGGTTTTGGACTTGATGGCACCGCAGCGTCTTCGTCATCCTGAGTCCACAGCTTCATTGCCGCCTGCGCTGGGTATAGGCTTGAGTAGTAGTTGTTGTTCATACAGCGTTCGAATACCTCAGGCTGCAGATCGAGCAGGTATCCGCACTCCGACGGGGTACCGCCAGCAACACAGTACACAATATCCGGAATTGTTGGTTGTGATGCGAAAAGGGAATACGCCTAGTGGTATCGTTAGAATGCTAGGCTGGACTTGCCTCCTCCTTATGGTAGTTGGGCCGGACGTCTACTCACTGTCGAAGGTGTGCCAAGGTCTGCAGCAATAGCTGCGACCTGCTGGCTTTGGTCTCTTCTGCTTGCAAGAATCTCATCTTTGGCCTCGTCGAGCTGCGTCTGCCCGCGTGCAAAGATAGTCACATGAGCACCTATACGCTGCTGTTCAACAACGACAACCGATACCAAAGGTACAACAAGCTCGTACCTTGAGAAGCCATAACCTTCGACATCTCCTTCCCCAGTCCTTTAGACCCGCCAATCACAAACACCATCTTCACATGTCAGCATGAAAGCGCGGATTAGACAAGTGGCACCGTACCTTCCCACTCAGATCACCTTTAGGCGCCATGATTGCTTGCTGTGAAACGGACGGCAATGTAAAAAAGTAGTGGTTACCGGAGAATTGATGGGAGCGAAGGTGAGCCAGACACAACGCCGCTACCTCATCCGTGGCCCGTGTAAGGGTTCTGCGCGTTTGTGGCACAGTAATTGTTTAGGCAGCGGCGCTGCATCGCGATGCACGGCCCGCGTGATTTAGGGACTTCACATGTAGACATTAGGCTGTATCAAACACCAGAAATTGTATCATACGATAACGAGGCTATAGAAGACTACCTATTTTCTGTTGCATGTCGCATGTAAAGTCAGAAATATAGCAGCTTGGAGTGTGTAGACAAAGCCTGGGTTGTCTCACTCTATCCGAGCACGGTGAGACTTGGTCATTGCGTATATCCAATACTTGAACAACAATAAGCATACAAAAGTTCTAGGTCTGGGTTGGACTAAACAACCTGGGCATATCGTGATCGCCAGAAAGCCTCGACGGGAGAATCCTAAATGCACATATAAACATCCAAGATCAGCCGGCCCGAAGCGCTAGCATGTGAAGGCAGAACGAACTGCCGCCAGCCTTTCTGCAACTATGATCTTACTTCGCCCCATTCCATTCCTTCTCGCCAAGCCTCAACGGCTTACGTGCATATCTCGTGTTACATACAACACATAGATGGAGGAATGATCTTCGCGGCTCGGGGACCGCCATCTTGGTACTTTATGAAGTTGATATGAAGGATGACTCGGTTGGCTCCACCTGCCTCGCATGCTTATAACGCCCCGTTGACCAGGCTACATCACCCTTGTCGCATTGTGCATAATCTCTAGACTTCCGAGGCGAACTCGAGACGAAACGAATTATCCGTAATAATCGCGAAGCCTATGAAGGTACCTTCAGTATCTCACCATTGAAGCAGGCATGCCAAACCCAGTCAGCCCTTCATGCGCCATCCAAGTATAGACCTTGTGGGCAGCTTGCGAAACGGCAATTCGCTGCGCATCATCCTTGCTTCCCTCGATTTCCATCATTTCCTGGATCCACGCGAAAACCGATGTTACCATGCCGCTTACTTGCTCTTCCGTGTTGCCGGCGTGGAATGTAACCTTTAAGCGACTTTCGCCCTTGGCGACGACGGGGTGCTCGACTGGGAACACGCAGTAGCCGTTTAGTAGTAGGTGGAAATACAGCCAGTACGTGTATGGTTGTCGAGTGCGGATTGTGATGATGTGAGATGTCGCCGTTGGCGATCCTTCCCAGTCCTTTAGTAGGGGGATGGCAAGTAGCCCGGTGTGTTCTGCGCGTTCCCAGAGGGGGTGCGATATGATTGACTGTAAGAAGAGATCCACAAGATCGTGGACCTGTGCTTGGGCCTGGTGCAGTGTCAGAGAGCGATCGCCATGGACATTGATATGACGAGGATGATTACCTTTCTTCCAACTTCCGACTCTAACAGCCTGTATCCTGTCCGGATAAGTGCTACCGATGCGAATGAAGGTGCAGTCGTGAATATGATGGTTCGTGCGAAGTTTAGCAGCGTAGACTTGATCGTCTCGTTACCGAGCACTGTAGCTGTATCGCAAGTGAGTATACATGGCCCTAATGTAGACCGTGAGATACATACCGCCTCTTGACGACAATGCCTTGCCGTATGAATGCATCACTATAGCCACCTCTCTTTCCAGACCAAGAGCGCACACAAGACCTTTGCCTTGAGGCCCATATATGCCATTGCTATGGGCTTCGTCGACCACAAATTGGACACTTCCGGAAGGAGCCAGTTCCCTCGCGGCATCAACAAGTTCTTGCAATGGGCAGACATCACCGTCCATACTATAGACAGACTCGACAGCTACTAAGACTGATCTTGCACCCCTTTGGATCAACGGATTGGACTCTATGATCCATGTTAAGATGCGGCGAAAGTCCTCGATGTTGTTGTGTGCGAAACTCTCTCGTTCTCCTGCCAGACTCTGGTCGATACCTTCATGGGTGCTGGCGTGAACTAAGGTGTCGTATAGAATCACGTCGCCCGGTCGTGGTATTGACGTCCATATGGCCACGTTTGCTTCGAATCCAGAAGCCAGCAGTAGTGCCGTTTCAGCGCCATGAAACTTAGCGATATGCTGCTCTGTTTCTTCTATATAGGCGTAGTTTCCTTCGGCGAGTCGCGATCCCGGCGCCCCGGGGTTGTGTTGATCATATCGGGAAAGCTCTTTCAGGTATTCTGTCTTCAAGATGCCGTTGATGCCAAAGGAGAGAATGTCGTTGGAGATGAAGTCGACTGTGGACTCGGCTGCTTGCCATAGGTTCTGTTGAATCGAATAGAACGTGTGTGACTTCTTCTTAACTTCTAGTGCGTCTTCCAGGTTGCGATAGAATGAGGACGACGGGATCGTCTTTTGTCGGGGCTTCTGATTCCCTATGCGGGCTGCCAACTCTCGGCTGGGGCTGAAGATGGTCGTTGGGTCGTATGCCTCACCCATTCTGTGGAAACCTTCGTAAAGTAGACGCCCAGATGTGTAACAGGAATAACCGAGTGATGCACTGCACAGTCAAGATAGTCGTTATATGTACGGCCTGCCCCCAGATGGGTGCATAGCCGGTGCGACACAGCCATCAGGTCGATCTGACTATAGCAGTGAGACAGGCAATGAGAGGAGGACGCTCCAGGGAGGTTGAGTATAGGCGAATGAGATGCTGGATCTGGTGGCACTATCCGTGGGCCACAACTACCCTTGCAGCTTGCAGCTTGCGGCGTCTCAACGCGGCTGTAGCGACCACAGGCAGTGACTGGTCGACAGGGTACCTAGACTCGGCATGCAACATCATATCGGTGAGCTCTTACTTGCATGCAGGCGAATGTTGCAGAGTCGGCAGGGTATCAAGCAGTGAGGAGAGCAATAGGGGAGGATCGTCATGACGCGCAGGGCAATTCGTGTTCGTCACGTGATGAATGGGCTCACGTCAGCGGTTCACGAGTGGCTGGGACGCGTTTACCGAAGTTGTGCCGGGAACAGCAGGGCACCTGCATCTTTCCATTCCAGGACTGTGATGAACTACGAAGAATGCGATCCCACCAACCCGCGATGCCAGCCATGCACCCTCTACCTAGCGCCTATCACCCATGTGAACCCTATCACGATCGGGAAGATCGTACTCGCTCAATTCGCTGACCTCGAACTGGTCGCGACGCTTCTTTAGTGGTGCGGCTTTGTGCCACGACGGCAGCCCGCGACGCGTCTCGGCCTGACCTTCAGCATGACCGCTTGAGCCCGGCCGCGTTATCTGTCGCAAGAGCGAGACAACAGAATCCGAGAATGGCAATGCCTTGACGACTTTGGGAAGCGATGGGAAGCCTATGATGAGGAAACCAGCCGTCATCTCGCCTACACCCCAAAGACCCGCGATGGAGACAATATACAGCTGATCGGATGTGTGCAACAGCCTGTAAATGTAATATAGACGCACCGCTGCGCTCGCACAAGCGAATATTCCGATACCGAAGAGGAGCGAGATACCGATCTTGCTGGCGCGCGACATGTGCAGCTGCCAGATCACCCTCTGCGGCAGCCCTAGGATGACGAGGTCGGAGATGAGGTTGACGATACCCGCAGCCATGTTGTGGCTTCTCATGTCGATAGGGCACATGCCTTCTACCAAAGGATTCCATATCTTGGTCCGTGGACTGCACTGGAAGATCTCGACCAAGGTGCCGACGCCATAGAAGAGGATGTTTGCCCAGATCATGACATGGGAAATCCAGAACACGGCGTTGCGCTGCCCACGAGGCACGAAGATCTTGAGCCAGTCGAGCAAGATGGCTACCTTCAGGAGCATGATGACCAAGCCGTAAAAGATTGAGCCCAGATGAACATGCTGTTGAGGATCAGTTAAGGTTCATTTTTTCGATCGCTATCGCACTCACGTAAAGGATCGGAAACAGGTTTTGGAGCTGAATGTTCCACTGATGAACTTCAAAGCCTGGGAATATCGCGAGTTCGTATAAGACATATGAGTGTCCAGCATATAGACCCTTTGCAGTCGATTTAGTTTGGTTCGTCTTCTGGATACTGAGATGCTTACCAGAGCCGATATCAGGAGCGCATCTTCGATGCGAAATGTCTTCAACAGCGCTCTCGACCATAAACGAAGCAGAACCGCAAGTGCAGCGACAATGCTTCCGAGCAAGACAACACCATAGCCAATGGCATGGCTTCCGCCTGGGTGGTCGAAGTTTGAACTCGTACCCAGGGGAGGCTCTAGAGCTGGACCCTCCAAAAGCGCGGCTAGGAATATAGCCTGCTCTTCTGGCGAGGATTGTGCGAGCGCAGCTGGGTCCATGATGTGAAGCGATTATGGTATGCGAGTGCGGTTCTGCCTTTGTAAGCAGATTGGATTGACGGGAAAGGCGGTAGAGCAAAGAAAAATGATTCCAGCGCAGTGGATGACTGCCTTGCCGGCGCTTTATCAAGCTGACTGGCTACGGCAGATTGAACGTACGTGGGTGGCAGTGGGCGATATTAACGGCTGACATTTGGTCGCTTTGGGAAACCAACTCGCATGCAGCCATCCCTGCACGCGCATCGACTCTTTCAAGGAAATAACCTCCAAGGATTTTGACGCTTCCTGTAGGTCTGCCTTGGGGGCCACAGGCTGTAATGGCTTACCACCAATAGCCATACCATCGGTAGCAACGGCCAATCACCTCGCACCCCAGCATGCGTCAAGATCATCATACCTGGGAAAGCTCGAAATAGCATGACCATCTCTATGCGCTTTCTCTTCCGATATGTTTTGGTGTAACTGAATCAGCACCGCACTTGAACAGTGACTGAACACTGTGAACTTACGCAGAAGCCTCACAGCCATGGAGCCCATCGCCATCGTCGGGCTATCGTACAAGCTACCGGAAGGCGACAATGAGGACCATAGCTTCTGGGACAATCTTCAAAGAGGCAGAAGCCTCAGTCGTCCGTGGCCTAAGTCCCGAGGCAACATCGATGCATTTTACAGCTCCAACGTAGCGATGGATAATACGGTAAGCTACATCCACGAAACGTCAAGAGAGCAGCAGATGCTAATAGAAGTTAACAGGTATACTCCACGAATGCTCACTTTGTCAAAGAAGATCCTGCCGCCTTTGATGCAGCCTTCTTCTCCATAACCTCGAAAGAGGCCGCATCAATGGACCCTCAGCAGAGGTGGCTACTGGAAACTTCATACAAAGCATTGGAGAATGGTAAGTGCTACCCAACTTCTGCATCGCCAGTATTGTCTACGAACTCTAATCAGTTGCAGCTGGAAATCCACCAGAAACCCTTGCTGGATCGCAGACGGCAGTATTTGCTGCTTCCATGTCTGATGACTACAGCAGAATCTTGGCTAGAGACCCCGACGAAGCACCGACCAATACCGCGACTGGTACTTCGCCTTCTATCCTAGCCAATAGGCTTAGCTGGTACTTCGACTTCAAAGGGCCTAGCATCCAATTGAACACGGCATGCTCGACAAGCATGATTGCGATGGATTTGGCTTGTCAGTCGCTTCGTAGCGGCCAGAGCTCGATGGTAACACTGCCCTCAGAGATCGTGCCACTACAAGAGTACTGACACGTGCTAGGCTCTTGTTGCTGGAGCAAACGTCCTTCTCAGCGTCGAAATCTCACTCTACCTATCGAACATGCAGATGCTCTCACCAGACGGCGTCTCCTACAGCTTCGATCACCGTGCTAATGGCTACGCCCGTGGAGAAGGTGCGGTAGTGCTGGTACTCAAGAGGCTTTCAGACGCGATTCGAGATTCAGATGTCATACGTGCCGTAGTTCGAGCGACTGGCTCAAACCAGGATGGACGCACACCAGGCATTACGCAGCCCAGCGCGGAATCGCAAGAGCAGCTGATAAGACACGTTTATAAGAGCTGCAACTTGGGATTTGAGTCTACGCGATACGTTGAAGCTCATGGAACTGGTACTCAGCTCGGAGATGCCACGGAGATGAAGGCGATAGGCAGGACCTTCCGGGCTAGCCGATCACAAAAACACCCGCTATATGTTGGGTCCGTCAAATCCAACATAGGCCATCTCGAAGGCTGTAGCGGACTAGCTGGAATTCTCAAGTCTATCATGATGTTGGAAATGGGCGTCATACCACCGAGCGCACTCTTCGAGAAGATCAGTCCAAAGATCAACGCCAAAATCTACAATGTTGAGGTACCTACGAAATGCATCGCATGGCCGACCAATGGGCTGCGTCGCATCTCAGTCAACTCATTCGGATTTGGCGGTTCCAATGGACATGTCATACTGGACGATGCATATCATACTCTCGAGTCCATGAACCAACAAAGCTTCCACAATACATTGGTTGCTTCAACTCTGCAGAACTCACAAATGAATGGCAATATTCCAAATGGAAACATGGATGGCACGAACGGTAACGACCATGCCAGCGACTATGAGGTGACTGCTGCTCCTGCTCATGTTAATGGCTCGACAACCGGGAGTACTACACAGAGTGTCAAGGCACCGGAAGGTGGTGTTCAGTTACTTGTCTGGTCAGCCAAGGACGAAGCCGCGTTACGACTCGTAATACAGCAGTATACAGACTACTTCGACAAGCGCGTATCAGGGCACGAAGAGAAACTACGTCGCCTCGCGTATACTCTGTCCTCTCGGAGGAGTGTCATGGCGTGGAGGGCATTCGCAGTCGTTGATGCCAGCGAGAAGTCCACGACCATCAGCGCTGCTACCTCGACCTTGACACGCTCAGCTCGAGAGGCCGGCATGGCATGGATATTCACTGGCCAAGGTGCACAGTACGCTCGAATGGGCTGGGAACTGCTCAGATTTCCCATCTTCAAGTCAACCCTGATTAGGATCGGGAATGTCTTTCGCTCATTGGGCGCACCGTGGTCGCTACTGGGTAAGACGACGGACTGCCTTCACTTTGACGTCCAAGCTAACTCTTGACTAGACGAGATGGATCACGGGAACAACATCAATCAGCCCCGTTTCAGCCAGCCTCTCTGCACCGCTCTCCAGATAGCACTTGTGGAACTACTAAGAAGCTTCAGTATTGCGCCACTTGCAGTGGTTGGTCACTCCTCTGGTGAGATTGCCGCAGCGTACTGTATCGGTGCTTTGTCACTTGAGTCCGCATGTAAAGTCGCTTACCATAGAGGAAGACTGGCCAATCAGCTTATGGCAACTTTACCTCGTCCTGGAGCCATGATGTCAGTCAATCTCCCCGAAAGTGGCGTTTCAGCATACCTGGTCAAGGCCTCTCTCTCTGGAACGATCCACGTTGCTTGCGTCAACAGCCCTTTCAACCTAACACTTTCCGGCGATGAGACCCACATCGACACGCTGAAAGATCGGCTGGATGAAGACGGCATATTCGCGCAGAAACTGAGAACTGGCGTAGCTTATCATTCTCCCGCTATGCATGCCATTTCCGCGGAGTATTTCTCGTCGATAGGTCCACTCGAACGAGGCGAGCAACAAAGCTCGATCTTCATGGTTTCCTCTGTGACTGGCACAGTAGTTGATGCCGATGCCTTGGTCACAGGTAGTTACTGGGTCGATAATCTTGTATCCCCCGTCAGATTTGCGGACGCAGTGCGATACCTTGCCGTGACAGCACCGAAGCTCGATCGCAATCACACTATACATGACTATGTCGAAATCGGACCTCACGCAGCACTGAAGAGGCCTACCACCGAAACACTAGGCCAATATACGACCAAGAAGCAAGCTAGGTATATGTCTTTGTTGTCGAAATTCGATTCTTCTCTCAGGTCGGCTCTGAGGACAATCGGGTGCTTGTTTACGTATGGATATACTCCGTCAATCGATGCCGCGAACCAACAAGATGCTCAAAAGGAACGCCTGCAGATCCTGGTTGACTTGCCTGAGTATCCTTTCGATCGTTCGCAGACATACTGGCACGAGACTCGACTTAGCCGAGACTGGCGGATGCGCAACAACGCACCAAGAAGCGTTCTCGGCATATGTGCTACGGACTGGAATCCTTCCGAGCCGCGATGGCGGAAGATGCTTAGTCTGGAAGAGACTCCTTGGCTTGCAGACCACGTCGTAGGTGATCAGGCGCTTTTCCCGGCTACCGGAATGATCATGATGGCTCTAGAAGCCGTAAAACAGCACTTTCAGACCGACCAAGTCATTTTGGGCTACAATATCAAGGAAGCGACCTTCATGAATCCCATTGTCGTTAGCTCCGAACCTAAGAGCAAGACAGAAGTGGTGACTCAGCTACGCCCGCTTCGTCAGGACTACGAGAAGACGTCGACACGTTCAGAAGTTCGTATTTTCGCTCGATCAGACAACGAGTGGATTGAGTGTGTCCGAGCTGAAGTGCATGTGGACTACGAAGAGACTGCCACGGAAGTAGATTGCGGCCTTGAAGCCAGAGCTCACGCTAAGGCATTGCTCGATAGCTACGTTGCCGCGGAAGAACAATGCAAGCTTCCTATAAGCAAGACGGAATTCTATGACTGGCACAAGAACCAGGGCCTCAAATACGGCGAAGCGTTCGCGTTGGCAGACAACATCCACTGGGATGGTGACGAGCTCGGTATTGCCCGCGTCGACGTCAGTGCGCCCATACATTCTTACGAGGGGGTGGTGCACCCGGCCGTACTTGATGCAGCTTGCCAAGTCTGCTTTACTGCGCCGTCCACTGGCATGTCAGACAAACTACCAACGATTATTCCTCACAAAGTCTATGATACCTGGATATCAGCATCTGGGTGGCAACACCCTCAGACTCGCCACATCAGAATGCTCACGACATCAAGGTTCAAGAAGACGATCAAAGGTATCGAGAGCTCCTTTACGGCGCTTGCAGATGACGGATCACCGCTTTGTCATGTATCGCGTCTAGAGATGTCGCCAGTGCTCGGTGCTGAAACGAAGAGCGAAGTAGAAAGGAAGCTGCTACATGGATTTGACTGGAAGCCGCAGTTATCGCTCATGAAGCCAAGCCAACTTCAGGCGTATTGTGAAGCTGATCACTTCGCAGATGATGAATCAACGCACGTCAACTTCATCCTCGAACTTGAGCAGACGATTCGCGCTGTTGTTCACCGCAACCTCGGCCGGCTGGAAGACACGGACTGGTCTACAGCACCAACACATATGAAGAAATACCTGGCATGGCTCAAGCTACACCTTGAGCACGTCCCGATACTTTCACGATACGAAGTCACGGATGAAGAGCTGAATGAGAAGCTCAGTCATCTGAGTACGCAATTCCCGGACTGGAGAATGTTTATCGAGATAGCAGAGCACATTGTTCCCATCGTACGCGGCGACATCAACGCGCTTGAACTGCTTTTCTCGACGACCCTCGCTCAAGACATATACAAGGCCATGTTCGCACCAGTTTACAACCAAAAGTTCATCTCGTACCTCAGCCTAATGGCGCACGAGAACCCAACACAGAAGATCCTTGAGGTTGGTTCAGGGACAGGCGCTATGACGGAACACATTATTTCCACTCTTCGCGACGTCGAAAACCGCACTGGCGGTACCGCATTCTCTAGCTACACCTACACCGACGTCTCCCCAGGCTTCTTCGAGAAGGCACGCGAGAAATTCTCTCATAGCCAAGATCGCATGGTCTTCAAGACTTTTGATATCGAAAGCGACGTAACAAAACAAGGTTTCCAACCTAGTACCTACGACGTAATTCTCGCCGGCAGTGTCATCCACGCCACAAAGAATCTCGCCGCCACGCTCCAGAATCTCAGGAGTGCATTGAAGCCAGGAGGTAAGCTCATATTCCATGAGACTACAGCGCCAGACTGCTTTCTCATGAACTTTGGCTTTGGCATACTGCCTGGGTGGTGGCTCAGCGAAGAGAAATTTCGGACGTCAGGACCAACGATCACAGAACCGGAGTGGGATCGCTTGCTACGAGAGAACGGGTACTCGGGCAACGACTTCGTTATTCGCGATTATGAAGAGCCTGTTGCACATCAATGCAGTGTGATCTTCTCCACAGCCGTCGAAGACCTTCAACCCTCACAGTCAGGTGGCAGAATACTGTTCGTTGTCAACGATGCCAACCAGTCTCACTATGGTTTGGGTACCCAACTCTTGCAACGAAAGCCCCGAACATCCCGTGCGACGACAAGAATATGCCTATTCACACAGATTGGCGTTGCCGAAGTGTCGAAAGAAGACATCGTCGTCTTTCTCGCTGATATAAGTGGAGATATCTTGATGTCCACTTCGACTGAAGCATTTCAACTCATTCGGGAGTGGGTGCATGCATCCGAGAATCTCTTGTGGGTCTCTTCTGCTATGCTTCCCAACAACACCGACTGCTCTCCTTATCCCTGTGCCAGTCTCAAGGATGGCTTTCTTCGGGCCATGCGGATAGAGTTTGCTAACAAGCGTATCGTAACGCTCTCGATTGAGGATACGGTCCGCGACTGGATCAGCGGATGCGATGCCATTTGGGATGTACTTGACGTAATGTCCTCGGCGCAGTCGCCAGAACTGGAGTACGTGCTACGCGATAGTCACATGCTGACCGGGCGGCTCATAGAAGAGAAGGATCTGAACATGGACTTGAACTCATTGGTCAAGCCACAGATGCTGACTGAGTCCTGGCTTCCCGGTCCACCACTCAAGATTGAGATTGGAAGCAGAGGCTCTCTTGAAACATTGCATTTCGCAGAAGACACTGAACATCATGCTCCCCTCGGAGACCGAGAGGTCGAGATTGAGGCCAAAGCGTGGGGTTTGAACTTCCGCGATATGTTCCAGGCGCTCGGTCGCCTGGAAGAAGATACCTTTGGCTCCGATTGTGCTGGGGTAGTTACGCGCGTAGGCTCCGCCTGTACACGGTTTCAACCAGGAGACCGAGTCTGCATTTGCGGTGTTGGATGCATGCGAATGTTTCCTCGCGCTGACGAATGGGCTACCGTTGAGATTCCAGAGGCTGTCTCGTTCGAAGAAGCGTGTGCAGTACTAAACTGTGGCATAACAGCCTATTACTCCCTGGCCGAAGTTGCAAGATTGCAAAAAGGAGAAAAGATTCTCATACATGCTGCATCTGGCGCGACCGGTCAGCTTGCTATTCAAATTGCCAAATTGATAGGCGCAGAAATATTCGTGACTGTGGGCTTTGACTTCAAGAAGCAGCATCTCATCGACCTGTACGGGATTCCTTCCGACCACATCTTTTACAGTCGAAACACGACTTTCGCGAAGGGAATCATGCGTCTCACAAATGGGTACGGCGTTGATGTCGTGCTGAACTCTCTTGTGGGAGAGGGACTGCGTGCCTCGTGGGAGTGCGTCGCTCCATACGGCAGGTTTGTTGAGATTGGCAAAGCTGACATCAACGCCAATTCCTCACTCCCAATGGCGGCTTTTGCAAACAATGTCTCGTTCTTCGCGGTTGATCTGCGCCATATCGCTTTGAATCGCAAGCAGATGGGACGGGACTTGCTCCACAAGACGATGGATCTTGTCGGAGAAGGGCACATACACTGTCCGAGGCCATTGAACCTTTTCCCGGTGTCAGACGTTGAGGGCGCGTTTAGGTATCTCCAGAGTGGGAAGAATACTGGACGCATCATCATCCAAATCGATCCTTCTGCAGAAGTGCAGGTACGCTCATCAGGTCTTAACTATCGATCAAGACTAACGAGTTTAGAAACGCGTTCTGCGCCGTCTATCGTGGCAATTCGACCAGAACGCCAGCTATGTCGTTGCCGGAGGACTGGGTGGCATTGGGAGATCCATACTCAGATGGATGGTCTCTAGGGGCGCGCGACATCTGATCGTACCATCGAGATCTGGTGCTGCTTCGGGAGCAGCTGCTGAACTGGTGAGCGAACTAGCGGAGCGGGGGGTCAACGTGTGCACCCCAAAGTGTGATGCATCCAATGCAGAGTCGCTCTCTGATCTTCTCGATGCATGCGCAAAATCTATGCCGCCAATTCGAGGTTGCATAAATGCTACCATGATGCTGAATGTAAGGCTCCCAATGCTCACGCTCGAGAAATCGCTTACCAAGTCTCGTAGGACGCGACATTCGACAACATGAGTCACACTCAGTGGGTTCAGACTATCCGTTCCAAAGCCCACACTTCATGGAACCTCCACGCCGTGCTTCCTCGAGATCTGGATTTCTTCATCATGTTATCGTCGGTGGCAGGTGTCGCAGGCAACATCGGTCAGTCCAACTATGCAGCAGGCTGCACCTTCCAAGATGCACTCGCACGTCATCGAGTCCAGCACCAGCAGCGCGCAACGTCCATTGACCTGGGTGTTATGCGCACCATCGGCATCGTCGCGGAGACTGAACGCTTACACGAGAACTTCAAGAAGTCCGGCAGCCTCGGCCAGATTGAGGAGGATGAGTTCCTGGCACTGTTGACCATATACTGCGACCCAGAGCGTACCAACTTGCCGCAGACGATAGGCAAAAGTCAAATTGCCATGGGTCTGGTAACTCCTGTCGATCTGCTGGAGCGCAATTTGGAACCAGCTGAGGTGTTGCAGCGGCCACTCTTCGCATCCTTCTCGCAAGCCCATAACACAAACCAGTCGAACACCCAGAATAGCGTAAGCGCCGCTGCGTTGTTCAATCTTGCCGAAGACGATGAGCAGCGAGTTGCAGTGGTCCTTGAGGCGCTGGCGCGCAAACTTGCCCGCGCATTGTCCATCCCCCCAGAGGAGATTGACGTTAATAAACCCCTTCACGCTTTCGGAGTGGATTCACTTGTCGCAGTCGAGCTGCGCAACTGGATTGGCAAGGAGTTTGCTGCGGACATTGCGGTTTTCGATATCATGCGCGGTAGGACCGTGGCCGCAATCGGGGAGCTGATCACGAAGATGAGTCAACTCAAGCGGACGAAGAAAACTGTGGCCAGTCTTGAGGCGGGTGCATGATGCGATAGACAATTTTCATGTTGCTCGAGGGATCGCTGCAGTGGGAACGCGGATGGCTAGGAGACCAACCACTTCGTCACAGTGTGTTGATAGGGGCATGTGGTCTGTGGGTTTGATTTAACCGCAAATGGAATGGCTTTATGACATCATAGCGAGGTACCCTCCTGGTCTGTCTTCTCCTCGTAATGATCCGACCGCGCCTCCAGCGGGCCCAAGTGTCGCTGTGAAGCTACGGTTCCTTTCAATAAAGCGTAGAGGTAGATCCCAGTCAACACCTCCGGCCTCCCATCCCGCTGCACACTCTGCGTCTGACCTTGCAGCGCTACGTCCGTATTCGCTATCGAGTCGCTGGGAGATCTCGCCTTCATCGCTTTCTTGTCCTTGCATATCCAGACGTTGCCTAGCATCAACGCGGCAAGGATGCTAAAGGCAAGGAACGGCAAGATGGAAACAAACGACGAGCTGATAGCATTAGCGGCAGCAGATCGGAAGCGTTCCAGATTTTCCAATGAGAGGTCGCTGATAGCATCCAATGCGGTGGGTGAGTTGACGTCGAATCTAGACGAGCCTTCGCTACCGATGAAGTAGACCGACATCTTGTTCTGGAAGACCGAGCCCATCACCGTCAAAGCTATGGTTCCACCGAAAGGACCAGCGAAGCTCAAAAGGCCAAGAATGACAGCGATCTTGTCTCGGTACATTCCCGTCAGGTGCAGGTTCTCTGGCATAAAGCGGATCCCAGTACCGAACCCGGCGACGCCCATGAGCACGTTGACAGCGGTCCTCTGGCGAGCACGTATAGCCCATGAGAGGGCGCCGATGCTAGCTGTCTCTACGATTGTACCGAATAGTAGGGGCCAAATCGTCTGTCGAGGGTGTACGTTGCACACGATAATGGCGGTGTAGACGCCGACACCGATCCCTGGAACGTAGAACAAGAGTTGAAGTCCAGCTTTTCCAGCATCGAAACCTTCAACGAGGGTGAAATAGATGCCGGCGAAGTAGAAGCAGGCATAGAGAGCTGCGCCTGTCGCTGCGGAGATGATACAGACTAGTGTTACGTCCTTCTCGTGGAAGAGCTGGTATGGTACCACAGGCATAGTCCGTGGAAATCGTCGCGCGAGATATCGACCCGGCGCCATGTATCTTTGGTATACCACGAACATGACCAGCAAGACTGGGCCTGCAATCAGTGGTAACAGAATAGCTGGTGATCCCCAAGCATGAGCTGAGCCGCCCCAGCTAGTTGCGAGTATGATAAGCGCCACTCCAGCGACGAACGTTCCTACTCCGATCAAATCGACACATGCGCATCCATCGAAGAAAGACCTAAGAGAAGTCTGATCCGCCTGCGGATGAGCCATCGAGCACCTCCCCTTCTTCAGATCAGGTCGCAGAAACGCAATCGTGAAGATGCTTATCGCGCTCAACGCAGACAAGAGCACGAAGACCCATCGCCAATGCACATTCGTCATATAGCCTCCGATCTGCAGACCTCGTTAGTAACGATAAATCCAGCTGCTGAAAGTCATACCAAAGGCCCTGTTGCATACGCAATGCCGATCAAGAAGTGAAAGATACTGGTATTGAACGCTTGCTCCTTTAGAGACACGTTGTCCGCTAGAATGATGAGGGAGCATGTAGACATGCCTGCCGTCCCCACGCCCTGGAGCGCTCGACCTAGCACCAAGACTGGCCAAACTTGTGCACTTGCACAAAGGACGGCGCCCAGGGTCATGATAGTAACGGCAGATTGCAGAGCTGCGTGCCGTCCGAACACATCAGCTAGTTGACCGAACACGGGGACGAACGCGGTGTCTGTGAGGGTGAAGGCTGTACCGATCCAGCTTATCTGGTTCAAAGCTTCTGTTTGATGGTGAGCATGCATACTGGCAGGGCTTGACAAGAGTGCTGACGGAAATGAGACGCGATGAACGGTTGAGCTGTCGCGACGATGGTCAGATCCATACTCGCGGTATAGAAGCCTGGTAATAACAGTAGAAGAAACTTCCATCTTCGCGCATTAGTTTTCCATGCTTCTTTGCTGGTATTCACTATGGTACTAGCTGCGATGAACTCAGGTTGGTGTTCCTGGCCAGACTGTGAGGGCGTCGTCATCGCAAGGTGAAGGAAATGTGGGACGTCGTTCTTGAAGATCTTCAAGGGTGTTATATGAGAACCGTACTGGCGTATACATCAATGTATACTCTTAATTTGGCTTCGAAGTCCACACCATTCTTATAAAGAATGATGCATATCTCTACCATAGAGTGCCAAGTGTATTGGCGAAGTGTTGACGAGTGCGAGAGGTCGGTGGCGCAGGCCAAGCGTGCCGCATTCGCTAGCACCGGGCGTCAGGTGCTATTCTCAGCCTAAATTCGCATTCGCTAGATCGTTCGCATTGAGGAAGTTTGGTTTTCTGAGACATTCATATGACTGACGTCAACTTCGTGTGTCTCTTGTATGTCGCATATACTTGTAGGTGCAGCGTAGACATAATCTAGCAACATGATCTCTTATAAAAGCTTTCTTGGCTCAAACTAGTACGAGGGCTGAGCAAGATCATCGGAAGTGAGCGAACATCACCACAGACTGCTACTACATGATATTGAGACGAAGGAACGTTATTAACATTAGACTAAAAATTGACAAATGCGATAGATGAAGGAAGTGAGCAATGCCGACCATTCTCAGCCTGGTCGTGAGATGATGTGAGCTCCTCGGACAGATCTTAAGTCTCTCTGGTAGTCGTTCATCCTTGCAGAGAAGATACGAACGAGATCAGTGACATTCTGATGAAACTTCTTGCGCTCAGCGTCGTTCGAGAACTCGAACCGGAGCCAGTACATGTCGCGCACACATACCGCACCCGTGTCAGATGACGACCAATGTGCACCGACAGCCGCCAGATTCCAGCTGTTGAGCCCCTTCTTCGCATAGAAACGACGTGCTAGCAGTGGTGTACCAGATCGCTCTAGCACACTGACTGTACAGCTGGCTTTGGTGCTTCGACAGTCGCAGCTTTTTGGCTCGATCTTCGTACGTTCGTCGAGCTCAATGACTAGAAAAGATAACTGCCCTGTATCTGGCTGCTTGAGAAACACCACAAGTAACGGTGGCTCTGGTTGTGTCAATTGTACTGCCCTGACTGCAGAGCCCAGGGATATTTCCTGTGAATGAGCGCTGGAGATGTTGCTCATGATGCTCGACGTCGAGGTGAAAGTCCGTTCGCTGAGTGGCTCAGGACTCCATGCACCCGATACAGTTTCTGAAGAATTTAACAGGTCTTCTGACGACCTGCTGTATTGGTGTTGGGACGCGGATCTCTTTTCGAAAGAAGCTTTCTGCCACAACTGTATGTTTCCGATCTCAGTCAATACGTCGGTGGTCTTGCTTGGTCTACCTTCGGATGCATCACCGTTCGTTGGGAAGCCCTGCCCTTTCACGAGTGATGTGACTATTACAGTTCTCCTTCACACGTGTCAGTCTCATACAGGCATATAGTTGAAGTGCTGCTTGCGCGACAGGTTTTGTAGGCTAATAGCTACCCACCTTTGATGTACGCATCTGTAGCCCGTTATGAGGTGTTGCAATCTGAACAAGTCGGTATATGAGCGAAACTCTGGAGTCAGGCCATTTGTGTCATCAGGCGAGCTCTGCAGCTTTACGCTACAAGAGGCATCTTGCGAGCCTGGGACTTTCGGTATTGCATACACAGGGACCAGAAAAACCTTCCTTGGGTCAAGGTTGAGTCTTTGTGTTACTCTGTCCCTGGAACTGCCGCCAGTGCATGATGTCATAGTCGTGGTGGTATCTTCCATTCCCAACGTCCCATCCATGTTACGCACTACGCGAAAGGTATGTGTCTGCGTACCGGAGACAAGCGAAATGTCCAGAAGAACTCCAAGATTCGTTTCGTGCACGTTATCGTTGATGGAGATAGGTCTCGGCCAGATAGCAAGCATTTCCTCGGGAGACCGCATAATAGTAGATAGTCGGGGGCGCGCGATTGGACTGCTAGCGATTCGAGCGCACTCTATGCGAAGTCGTCGATCCATTTCCCGGATGCACCTATCATAGAGACCGCCTGGATTTGAGCTTTGGATACTTGACCAATCGTGTCCTTCCCTAATCTTGTCCATTAGCCATATGCTTTTGAGAAGGCGAAGATATGATGTCGCATCTCCATCCGGACGAACGCCATTGAAATGATTGCAAAAGGCTTCTAGGCCTTCTCTGACTGATACTTGCAGTCCGTCAGATGTTTTCTCCCAGTCAAACGTATACAATAAAGAACGTTGCTGTAACTCCGCTGTGAAGCGCTCGGCAAGCTCGGCAGGGACTTCTATATCCCGCTTGATCACCGGGTGATACGCGTCGGTGCTTGAATCGCGACTAGCAACAAGTAGGTGCTTCAGCTCCTGAATTCGCTCCGCAAGGTCTTGGTGTTGTTCATTGTGGAGATCCCGTAGCTGTGTTTGGACATGAATGTTGAACGCGTCGAGAACGAGACCAATCTTGACGGTATGGAATTTCAGCCGCTCGGTTAAGTCTCTGACCTGCGCATCCGAATTCAGGTTGTAGATGATGTTGGTGATGAAGCCGTCTTTGCCAGTACGAAATTTGCTGACGTCATTGAGCAACTTCTGACAATGTTCCAGCGTCAAGCGGAAGTTGCCCACGATATCGGTCAGCGCTGCGGTATCATATAACTCAGGTCCATAGTTCTCAAGCCTTCTGTTTTCTAAGCCGGTGTTCGCGGTTCTGACGATGGATTCGATGGTGTTGAGACTCCAGTGCAACCGGAACAACGCGTCGCCAAACTCCAGATACCGTTGCGCTAAGACAATACGGTTAGCGCGAAAACGCGGTGAGGTGGCTGGGAGGACGAACGCAGCGACTTCTCCTTCGTGAACCCCTTCTCGTATATGACCCACGATAGTTTGATGGCGCCGCAAATGAAGCTGAGTACACCGAAGTCCCACGGCATGTTACCGATGGTCGCAATGCTTTGAGAAGATGCAGGCTCAGGGACCGACGACGATACCCCCGGAGCTGTCTGTCGTTATCTGGCACACGCGCATCCCTTCCTCACACATCCCCTGCATCCACTCAACTGTAGCAAACAATGCTTTGTTTACTTTCGGATTTAGCCTTGCACTCTTATGCAAAGTGGCTGTCTATCGAATTTCGAAGCGACCTCGTGTTAGTGGCTGCTGTACACATGGCAAGTGTCTTTAAGCAAGGAGTAGCAGCTCCGCGGTGCAAAGGCTCCAACAATCGACGGAAAGAGTAAAACCACAAGCAAGGGCTGCGGAAAAGAGCTTGTCTTGCAGCTCTCATGCCAGGTGATAACTAATCCATGAAACTCAAGGGATAAGTCATTCAGATACCATTACCGGCTTCTTGCTGGACAGTTACTACTGTAGCTAGGTACTACTTATCCAACCAGATTCCTAAGCTTCACCAGCTCCAAATCGATGCTCAGTACCGAATGATGGACGAATCATGTAGCGTCCAATCGGGAGACCGCAGCCTGTGCTTAGACGAAGAAGACCGCGCATACCTCGAGGCTTTGAACGACAAAGATGTTGTCGCTACGAAAAGCACGCCGAACCCTCTAGGTCTCTTCTCAGTAGTGGCCTTCATAATCCAACAAGTCATCGGTACCGGCATATTCCGAACACCATGGACCGTTATGCAGGCCACCGAGAGTCCGGGGATCACGCTTTGCTTTTGGGCTTTTGGTGGACTTGCAGCCATCGCGGGCTCCATATTGTACATCGAGTTCGGCTTGACTACACCTCGACATTCGATCGATGGCGAAAGAGTGCCGGTTGTACGCAATGGTGGAGACATGAACTACGTGAGTGTAGAACCGCAAGCCTGCCACTGATACATGACTGACCGCGACTAGGTGAACTACCTCATCAAGCGACCCAAGTTCTTCGTCTTCTCCTTCTACGCAGTCAACTACGTGATCATTGCCTCGAGCGCGGCCAATGCATTGACTTTCGGCGACGACATAATAGGCTCTCCAGGAACCGATCGAGGTGCAGCCAAGGACGCCGCGGCACGATGTCTTGCGATAATGGCAGTA